ACTGACATCTTTGTACAGTTACATTCCTCTCAATTATTCCTCCCTCCCAAAATAGGGATATCTTGTTTCTTAGTAGGTGATTCATCGCTATTATTTATAAGTATGGACAGATGGATCATTTCCAGTGATGAAATTTAAAAAATTCCCCTACCGGTTCTGTGGGCATGGCTTGTTGGGGGGAGGTCATGTGACTGGGTGGGCATGGCCAACTCAACATCACTCACATCGAGGGGCTCCTCACTGGCCCCTCCCCTCCCAGCCACTCCTTGTCACGAACTTTGAGGAACCTCAGGCCTCAGAGCTTTATTTGACATTGCCAGCAACTGGGGTTCTTCCTGGCCCAGGTTTGGACCTACATGCAGGAGTATTGTCTGGAGATAACCACTGAAGGTGCTAAGGTCAGATGTCTCACCAGGGACCTAGAAGGGGCTGCAGCGCAGTGGATGATCACACTCGGAGTGGGTCAGAGGGGAGTGGCTGAGTACACACAAGAACTTTGTGACCTAGTGTCAGGGTTCCCACCGATGCCTTAATTAAATCATGGACCTTGAGCCAAACTTCAAAAGGAATCCAGTTATTTATTAGGAGCTTCAAGGCGGCATATTCTAAGTGACGCCAACTCTGACCTCACTTAATTTTTGTCCCAGCTCTGACCCTGTTTCCCCCTCCCCCCAAGGTGTGTCATCAGTCACATTCTCCAATGAAGCAATTGTTTCACTGCAATCCTGTAATCAAAGGATGGGGGGAGGGAGGGGGACAGATGGGCAATAAACCTGTATGCTTCAATGGTGGGAATTTGGGAGGGGAGAATAACAGTTGAAGGAGTGCAAAGCAGTTTGGTACCAGTTCATGCCAGGAATCAATCGATTAATCAATCAATCACTAAAGATACATCAACACCAATAACAGCAATAGACCTAATCTTGAGGTAGTTGGGGCCATCTAGATCTCCAGGGAGGCTCTTCTACAAGGCAGGAGATGCCAGAGGGAAGGGCTGCTTTCTGGTCCAACAGGATGATATGGTTTCATAGAGGGGATGCTAAGAATGTCCCTTTGCTTTCCCTACCCTGGGCCATGTTGAATGCCAAAAAGTTATTCACTTAACACATTTCCACTTTCTGATGAATTCTTCACACACATTTAGGTGGCAACTTTAAAGCCTCAAAAATGCCCTCGGTCAGGTCTGCTTCAGGTTTGACAAAAGGACTATAGAATATCAAACAAATTATAGTACCTGGATGAATCGTCGTATCTGGATCCGTTCCAGTCGGGCTTCAGGCCTGGGTACAGCACGGAAACGGAATTGGTCACGTTGGTTGATGATCTCTGGAGGGCTCGGGACAGGGGTTGTTCCTCTGTCCTGGTCCTATTAGACCTCTCAGCAGCTTTTGATACCATCGACCATGGTATCATGCTGCACCGGCTAGAGGAGTTAGGGGTGGGGGGCACCGTTCTACGGTGGTTCTCCTCCTTTCTCTCTGACCGGTCGCAGTCTATGTTGACAGGGGGGCAGAGGTCGACCCTGAGGCCCCTTGTATGTGGGGTGCCACAAGGGTCGGTCCTCTCGCCCCTTCTGTTCAACATTTATGTGAAGCCGCTGGGTGAGATCATCCGTGGTTTCGGGGTGAAGTACCACCAGTATGCTGATGATACTCAGCTGTACATCTCCACCCCGGACCACCCCAATGATGCCCTTGAAGTGATGTCCCGGTGCCTGGAGGCCGTGCGGATTTGGATGGGGAGAAACAGACTCAGGCTCAACCCATCCAAGACCGAGTGGCTGTGGTTTCCGACATCCCGATATAGTCAGTTGGTGCCATCACTGACTATTGGGGGCGAGTCACTGGCCCCCACGGAGAGGGTTCGCAACCTGGGTGTCCTCCTGGACACACGGCTGTCTTTAGAAGAGCACATGACGGCCGTGGCCAGGGGGAGTTTTTATCAGGTCCACCTGATTCGCCAGTTGCGTCCCTTTCTGGATCGGGACTCGTTAAATACGGTCACTCATGCTCTCGTTACTTCCCGCCTGGACTACTGCAATGCTCTCTACATGGGGCTCCCCTTGAGGAGCACCTGGAGGCTCCAGCTGGTCCAGAATGCAGCCGCGCGGGTGGTTATGGGAGCGACGTGGCGCTCCCATGTGACCCCCCTCCTGCGCGAGCTGCACTGGCTCCCGGTGGTCTTCCGGGTGCGCTTCAAGGTTTTGGTTACCACCTTTAGAGCGCTCCATGGCATCGGACCGGGGTATCTACGAGACCGCCTTCTGCTACCAATAGCCTCTCACCGACCAGTACGCTCCCATAGAGAGGGGCTCCTCAGGGTGCCATCGGCCAAACAGTGTCACCTGGTGGCCCCCAGGGGGAGAGCCTTCTCTGTGGGGGCACCTACCATCTGGAACGAGCTCCCCCCAGAGATACGGAAGATCCCGGACCTGCGCACGTTTTGCCGTGCTCTCAAAACTTTTCTATTTCAGCAAGCTGGACTGGCCTAACTCCCATCTTTTAAATTCTTAAATTTTTTAATTCGTGATTTTACAAATTGGGTGTTTTAATCTGTGTTTCGGCCGAAATATTTAATAATTTTAAGGGATTTTTTAATATTTGTATTATCTGTATTTTATCTTGGCTGTTCACTGCCCTGAGTCCTTCGGGAGTAGGGCAGTATAGAACTTTGATTAATAAATAAATAATAAATAAATAAATAAATAAAAGTTTTAAAGATGGTGGATTTCATTAGATTTACTTGCCTAGATCAGTTCAACAGGTTTCATAGGTTTTACATCTAGAAATGTTATGCTATCCTAATTCTACCTATTTATTGATCTATCTCTAAACATGTAGATATTTTGCTGTATTTTCTCTCTCTCTTTACACAGTGGTCCCCGACAAACATCCGCTTTATTCAGTTATTTAGTTCCACCTTTACAAACCAATAATGGCTTTTTTCAATGAAGAAAATGTCTACTCTTTTTTAAAAATTGAAATGTCCCAACAGTCGAACCCAAAGTCAAACTTTTGATGATTATAATGGATAAAAGTGATTTTTAGGGATTTTGTTCTGGTCTGGAACTGTGTAAGAGAGAAGACGTAGTTATATGAACAAAAACAGCCACCCATCTCTTAACAAAGGCAAACCAGAATCAGCTGTATCCATATTGAGGATTAACATTTTACACTCATGCTAAAATTCTCTCTTGAGACTGGAATGTATGGAGAGCTTTTCTAAGGGATTTGTCACGGAAATACTTTAAGAGCTGCGCAGCTGCCATGATGCTGTAATGCTGTAATGCTTTAATAATGATGCAATGGTAGGAATGAGATGTTTGGGAGAAAGTTCTTCTGTCTCACTTCTCATCTCGTTTTCAGAGTTTTCACCCCATTTGTGACTTTTTCCATTGGGCACCTGCTTGTTGACTCACTCAGAGTTTAGAAAGATGATGTCTATTCTTGTTTCCATTATCCAAATCATAGTGATTTACTTATTATCTTGGTGCTAAATCTCAAAAGACATTTTGGATTGCTTTCAGATATCACACAAAAACAGCCATAACAGGCTTCCACTTTGACATCATATCAACACCTTGTTGGCTGATCTCTTTGCTCTGGAAAATCTTGGAGGCATAAATGGCCCTGAAGAAATAGAGAACCTTAAAAGTTTTTATGACAGGCAGGGGCTGCAGATATGAAGGCTTGTATAGACTCTGTCACTATTAGGAAATCTTTGGAGCTTCTGCCTTGGAAGAGGACTTTGGTTTCTTCCACCTCTTCCTATCACTGTGTCTTCAAAGCAAGGCTGGAGATTCCATCAGGAACAAAAGTCATGTTGCTGCTTCTCCTGCTTCTGCTGCCCCATGAAGTTCTGGCAAGTCTCAGAGCCAAATGTCTCCTGACTCTGAAGAGGGACGAGGTGCATCCAGAGAACTATTACAAGCCAGGAGAGTTTCTCATTGGTGGCATTGTCTCTGCAACGAGGATGGAATTTCTACCATTAAGCTTCAACAAATCTCCTTTGACTCAAATTTCTCTGTACGTCAAATTTTATGTACAGAATTAGAGCCTCTCCATTCAACCCTAAATTCTAAAGTTTCAGCTGCCTCTCTTACAATGAATCATCTCTTTGATCTGCTAGTTTTTCTCTCTTTCTGTCTCATTTCATTCTTGGCTCATTCTTTACAGCTGATGATCCTGATTTGAAATTCTCAAATAAATAATCACTTGAGATCTTCTTCTTTCTTGACTTCGAAGAAGAAGCATTTGCTTTTCTTGACATTCTCTTAGAAGAGTTGAGTCTCTTCTACCACTCTCATGCCCAATAAGGTCATCAGGATGGGTATAAAAATGTAGAAATGTTGAATTTTCTCTGAAGTAAAAATGATTAAAGCTTGACAATTCTATTCTGTACCACCAATTAAATGAATGGATCCCAGTTCAGAATTGACTTTTCTTAAATGTGTGAATCTCATTTGAGTGGATGCCACCATCCCAATCATACAATGAGTTATTTGTCAGCTAAGTCTCTATGGTTAAGCTAAGTTTAGATATAGGCCATTTAAACACCTCCAGAAATTTACCACTTACTGCACTTGTTAATAGTGATAGTTGCTCGTTTTATGTGTCATTGTGGGTGTATCTGTCTGTATGTGTCCTTCAATGATTCTATATTTCATGTGGAATAATAGGTGACACTTCCAATGATTAATCATTGGAGAAGATAAATAGGCAAACGGATAGAAAGAAATTGAAAGTCAGTCAGAAATCTCAATACAACAGCAAGAATAAGGACAATATGAAGAATAAGCCAAAACTGAATTTGAAACTGAATTATGTACACATGGTGAAAATGTAATAACAAAAATGGATAAAGTTTTAAGGATTTGAAAGAGAAGATGAAGAGGCTCAATTTGCATGACTAAATGCACTATTAAACTTGGATATTAAATAGAGATGCAGATAATTTGGGTAACTGGCGTTCGGTTTATATTCTGTCATAAATTAAGTTTTTTGTTTTGTTTTGTTTTGTTTTTGAAATAAAATGATGTATTCTTGGTATAGGACATCAGATAAATCATCAAAGATGTGTAAATACATTTCAAAGCAAAGCAAGAATTGTGAAAAGAATGGGGAAAGATTTTATCATGCAGGGTAGACGTGTGAGAAATCTCAGAAATTTTATATCAAATTAACACAACAATGCGAAGAATTAGAAAGGCTAAAAATTGTGAAATATAAATTTAAAAAAGAATTAGAGAAAGTTAACAATGACTAGACTAACTCAGAAATAATATGCATTTGGTATCCAAAAATAAAAGAAAAATGGAAAGTATCCCAGAAGTTCTATTCGATAGGTGAGATTTATTTGGGGGGGGGATTTTAAAATGACTCCAAACCTCTGAGCCTGTGGTGGATTAAAAATACAATTGTTAAATTTACCAGTTAAATAAAATGTTGCTTCCATTGATTATGTCCTGATACATTCATACTTTCAGGAGACCAGGAACAGAGTACTGGAAAATGCTGTCCTTCCTTTTCGCAATCCAAGCGATCGACAAGAATCCCAACATTTTGTTCAATGTCACCCTGGGATACAACATCTATGACAATTATTTCACACCACAAATGACCTCGGAGGGTTTGCTGGACCTGCTTTCGGAGGGGGAGGCCAATGTTCCCAACTACAGCTGTGGAAGGCAGAGAAACACCGTGGCTGTTCTCGAAGCTTTTGGTATTGACATCTCCATCCAGATTTCAACCATGTTGGGAACCTACAAAATCCCACAGGTGTGTCTTTGTTGGGAAGACATTTTTAGACATGCAATTTACAGCCAGACATCCTCTCTTCTAAATGAAGAGCAAAGTTCTATTGTGGGAATTGCATGAAGTAAGGATGAAGGTTCTATCAAATGGTGGAGAAGGACCCCAGCAGACAATCCTCTCTCAGGTGCAATCATAATGCAGACTGTGCATCACTGCTCAGTACAGCCTCTTCTGTTCCTTCTTCACAATCATGTCAACATTGTCCATGAGAGGTTCTCTGAGATATAAATGCCCAGAAATTTAAAACTACCAACCCTCACCACCTCCTCACCATTTATGTACAATGGTAAATGTACATCTCTCTTCCTTCTGAAGTCAATTTTATGTTCTTTAGTTTTTTTGATGTTAAGTATAAGATTATTTTCTTTACACCACAATGTCATCCCTTGTACTTCCTTTCTATAAGCAGACATTGTTCTTAATAATGAGCCCCACCACTGTCGTGTCATCTATTTTGTTTTTCTATTCCTATTGAAGTGAGAAGAGAGACAATGTAAACAGAATGATCAGGAGTTGAACAATTCCTCCATTAGGGCTGGATATTGTTTTTATGATTTCTCTCTCTCAAAAAAAATAAAAAATAAAATAAAGTTAACTTTTTTTTCAATTTCAGATCAGTCACGGTTTTGACTCCCAGGTTATGAGTGATGAAAATCCTTTCTTCTACCCAATGCTCCCAGCTGAAGGAGCCCATTACCAAGGGATGGTGATGCTGGTACTCCATTTCAGGTGGACCTTGGTGGGTCTCCTTGCTCCAGACACTGAGAATGGACAACAGTTCATGAGGACGATGACTTCCCAGCTAGTCAGGAATGGCATTTGCCCAGTTTTATCACAAACCTTTTCCCCAGTTTCACGGGAAGCGAAGATAGAGTGGCATTTATTCCTCAGTTGGAGAAAGATCAATGTCTTTATTTTTGGTGCAGACTTGAGTTCATTCAGTGTAGGAATTTTGCTTTTGAATCTAGTATTTCAAAGGCTTATGGAACCTCCTAGAGGAAAAGTCCTCCTATTCACAATCCGTTGGGACTTCACTGTTTATTTGTCAAAACGATCTTTTCCAGTCGAATACTTCCATAGCATATTTTCCTTTCCTATGCAGAAAAATCAATTTGCAAAGTATGGTAGGCCTTTAAACCTTTATTCTTTTATGAGATACTATGTAGAGACCTCCTTCCTGTGTTTCTACACCAATGAGGCCTTTTCGGTGAAAGTATGGATACAGTGCAGGCAGAGAGAAGATCTGGAAGCTCTCAAGGAAGAGGAGATGGATCCAATCCTGACTCGGGACAGCTATTTAATTTACAACACAGTCTGGGCTGTGGCAAGGGCCTTAAATGCAGCTTATTTATCCAGATCCAGGAACATGTTTAAAACTGGCAAAAACATGAAAACTCCAAAGATGAAGGCATGGCAGGTACTTATTTTCTTTCTTTTTTTTTTAATTGAAAAGTTTTAAAAAGTTTTACAGACATTTCCCCTACCCCCTCCCTCCTCCCCTTCCAGCCCTCCCCTTCCCCTCCTTCCCCCCCCCACCTGCTTCCCAGAGCAAAATACAGGGTATAACATTTGACAATCACAAGGTAGCATACTCTAATTATCTATAGCATCCTATTCCCCTCTTGAACTTTTAACTCCCCTTTTACTAGACTAAGTTTAAGTACTTAATAAAATCTTCTGGATCATTTGTAAGTTATTTGAAATTTTTTAGTCCGATATTTGCCTTGAATATAATCAATCCATCTTCTCCATTCTAACATATATTTCTCATTTGAATGGTCCTTTAAATATGCTGAATTTTTCACCATTTCTGCTAGATTTACTACTTTTAATGTCCATTAATATCTAGTAGAGCAAAGGTCCCAGTCATCCTCAAACTCAGCAAAAAAAATTCTTTTCCTAGCTGCCGATTGACCTGTAAACCAGTTTTTTTATAACATTGTTTCTGTGTGGGGCATCTGATTTCATTTTGGCTTTATTGGCAAAATTCCTTCTGTGTTGTTGAGCACAACTTCCATATCCTTTAGGGTTTTAATTTTGGACCTCAATAGTTCATACTGCATATATCCTTTGCTTTGGTTACTTCCCATTGGTTTTCCAAACTCCGCAGTGACAACTACAAATGGAAGCGATAAAGAACATCCTTCACTCTCCTTATTTTCCATGTTGTTCTTGGTCCTTCTAACAAGATTTTTATTCCATTTTCCTCATACAGATCTGTGAGATTTAAAAAAACAGCAAACCTCATAAAAAGTAAAATGGAGATCATGAACAAGTAAAAAGTAGTTTTATTACACACACACACACACACACACACACATAGTGTGTGTGTGTGTGTATACATATATATAAATATGTTTTCTGAGGTTTTCACCCACACCGATGAGGCACGACCACAAACCAGAAGCCAGACCACAGCTGCATCATTAGCCACTTTAAACCCCCCCAATCCATACATGAAGCAAACTGAAACCCACCATGAAGATGTGGCATGACCACGAACACGAAGCCAAACAACAGCAATGCAGCTCACCAGCTCAAATCCCCCTGCTACTCAGACTAACCCGAGCACAACCAAGCCCCCACATAAACAGAACACACCCCCATCCAATCAGAGCACAGCCAACCCCCCATCCAATCAGAGCACAGCCAAACCCCCAACCAATCAGAACACACCTTCACCCAATCAGAACACAGCCAAGCTCCTAATCAGTTCACACGTCCACTGGCAGTTAAAAGGAAGAAACAGCTGCGATCACACACATTGCTCCTGGAAGCACGAAGCCGAAGACACCAGCCTGAGATGACGAATGAGGCTTCGTCGAAACGTCGCCAAGACACTTCCAATTTTACACCGGAGAAAACCTGAATAAACAAAGACATATATATATATATATACCCATACATACATACATACCAAATTTATATTTTGCTGATAAATATATAAAGAGAGACTAGTATAGATCTATTTCAAGGTTTTTAGCTTTCATCAGCTAGCCATACCCTTACTTGGATTCGAACTTGGGCTTCCTGCATGTTAGGCAGTTGAATTAACCTTCTGAGCCACAAGTTCTCCTCCCTTCATCAGCTTGATACACATATACATATATGTGTGTGTGTGTGTTTGTGTTTTTTTTTTTTGTGTGTGTATGTGTGTATTATAAGCTTTTGTAAAAGGGTTTTCCCATGAAAGAGACAGAACGTCTTACAGCTCCGAATACATGGTTTAAATACATTTTCAGGCAATTAGCAAAACAATTGAAATGCCCCCACTTATCATTGTTTTTCGGATGTTACATAACATTTTGGCTTTCTGAGCAACATTTGTACCAACTTAGAATTCCCTTTTGGAGGGGCATTTCCCCTCCAAAAATACCCTTTCAATATGTCCTTAACTAAGACAATTAATTGGAACAGGGTATCTTCCTTCCTTCTAATTTAGCTTAGGTCAGCCTGACCCAACTCAGAATGTACTAACACATTATTTCCTCAGAAAAGGCGTCATACATACTTCCCCTTTCTAAGTGTCTTACTTAGCTAAATAGCTTAGGGTTAACTCAGGTTATATGAAGGGTAAATATGGAATCACTTAGGCTATATTCTTTACAGGAATAATTCCATTTCTCTCAAGATCCTTCATGCCAGCTGAGATGGAGGAGTCTTACCAAAGAACTTTCTGTGTCTATATAACATTGCCCAACTTCTCTTCCATTCCAGTTTCATTCTTTCCTTCGAACTGCTGAGTTTTACAATAATTCCATCAATGGGGTATATTTGGATGAGAATGGAAAGCTGGTAGCAGACCTGGACATTGGGAACACAGTGGTTTTCCCCAATTACTCTGCTACCACAGTGACACTTGGGAGGCTAGAAAGAGTGGGATCCTTGGATTTCAAGTTCATGATGAACCAGAACGCTATTGCAAAGATGGAGATGCTGAACAAGGTGGGGAAAAGACTTTATTCTGTTTTTTCTGAAGGTCTTTCCAAGATGATTGCAGAATTGGAGCAAGGACAGACTTGGGGTGTCATCTCAGTTCTTCCAGAGAGGAAACATCTTCCCGTTAGATGTTCCGGTGTCTATGAGAAATATATCCCTAACTATTCCAGTTAACTGTTCATCAAACTTCTGCAAGGAAGCTTGATTTATATCATGGGACAAAGTGATTGATTTTGTCAATCACTTGAATTGGAGATCCCCAAACGTTTCCTTTTATGTATTTTAGGAAATAAAATAATTTATTTAATGGAGGTTATTTTTCCCCTCTTGCTGGCCAGCCCCAGCCTCCTTCCAGGTGTGTGGAAAGCTGTCCTCCTGGATACATGAAGGTGGCTCAGGAAGGGAAGCCCATCTGCTGCTACAATTGTCGTCCTTGTGCAGAAGGAACCATCTCCACCATGGAAGGTGGGTGACAGCAGGAGAAAGGGACAGACTTTGGGAAGGATCAGAGATCCTGAGATTCTCCATGAACATGCATTTTGGAAGGCGTGGTGGGAGTGGATCCCACCTCTTGGAGTCTTGATCAAGATATACATTTATGTCATAATGAATTATAAGAAAATATCTTGGAGATTAATCTCGTATATAGGTCAAGCAAACAGTTATACAGATCATGGATGAAGATATGGGAAAAGTGAGGGTTGAGCATTGTGAGAGAGATGACATCTTTTGCTCTTAATCTTTTACAACACATCTTCCATGTTTCAAATTACTATTTACTTCATTGCTCTGAATAGTGAGAGTTTCCAGATTCCAGAATATAATGATGGAACTCTGATTGGATTTCTATAGGAGGATCAATCAGATTCTTCCAAGTATCCATGTCTCATGGCTATTTTGGACAGCCACAGTTTCAGGTTGTAGTTACTTGCCTTTAATCAAAGGATGTATTTCTTTGCTAAAGGAATTGTCAGGATTCCAAGTAACACACCCATAGCAAGCAAAACTCTGAGGCAGGTAGATTCCTCAAAGGATAGCTTTATCATATTGGCACAGATCTGGTGAAAACCGACTCTGAAGGTTCCCATAGTTTTCATCTAATTAAAAATAAAAGATTTCCCTCAAACCCCAAACAGTCAGTCACTTGGTCCAATCAAGGCACTGTCTGGTTGCCTGGTGACATCACTCCCCCTTCCTCTGGCCAGGTGTTAGAATGTCCTTGGTTCCCAAGAGAAAGAACTTTATTTTAAATGACATGTTAAAGGGAGACTCTACTTTTGCTCCTTTTCAGATGCAGACAAATGTACCAAATGTCCAGAAGATCAACATCCAAACACCTATCGAGTTCACTGTATCCCCAAGATTAAAAATTATCTTTCTTATAAGGAAAATCTGGGGATCATCCTGACTTCCATTGCCTTGTTCCTCTCTTTAACCACAGGCTTTGGCTTGGGGATCTTCATTAAATTCATGGAAACACCAATTGTCAAAGCCAACAACCAGGACCTCTCCTACATCCTCCTGGTCTCCCTCCTGCTTTCCATCTTGACCTCCTTCCTGTTCATTGGCTGGCCAAGGAAGGTGACCTGCCTCCTCAGACAAACAGCCTTCAGCATTATCTTCTCAATTGCCATTTCTTCAATCTTGGCCAAAACCATTACAGTGGTGTTAGCCTTCTTGGCCACCAAACCAGGGAATAAAGTGCAGAGATGGTTGGGGAAGAGCTTGGCCAACTCCATTGTCTTTTCTTGTTCTTGCCTTCAAGTTGTCATTTGCAGCATCTGGTTGAGCACTTTCCCCCCATTCCCTGACTCTGACATGCACTCCCAACCTAGAGAAATCATCCTACAATGTGATGAAGGTTCTGTTGCCATGTTTTATGTTGCCCTTGGGTACATGGGCTTCCTGTCTGCTGTCTGCTTCACGGTGGCTTTTCTGGCCAGGAATCTCCCTGGGGCCTTCAATGAAGCCAAGCTGATCTCCTTCAGCATGCTGGTCTTCTGCAGTGTCTGGGTGTCCTTTGTGCCTGCCTACCTGAGCACCAAGGGGAAGTACACGGTGGCTGTTCAGGTCTTCTCCATCTTGGCCTCCAGTGCTGGTCTGTTGGGCTGCATATTCTTCCCTAAATTCTACATTATTATTTTTAGGTCAGATCTGAATACCAAAGAACATTTGATGTCAAAATAAAATACAAAAAATAACTTTAACAAATCTATTATTTTTCAAATATGTCATTTAGTAGGCTTGATTAACGGGTTTTGATAATTTAATGTATGTATGTATGTTTGTTTGTTTGTTTAATTTACATGCTGCCCATCTTGGCTAGGGTTGACTCTAGGCAAGTTATATTCAAGTCAAAAGAAAATAAAAGATTAAAATAATAAATAGTAGCACTAACATTGGTTTAAAATTGACAGGTATGGGAACGAAGGGAGCAAGGTCAAGGGTGAAATCCAGCAGGTTCTGACAGGTTCTGGAGAATGAAATAATGGAGCTAGGATGTTGGTCATTCTATGCTCCTCCTTGTAAGGATGGACTTGCCCAAACCTCAGTTCTCCCTTGTGGGCCAAGTTGTACATATTAACATCCCCCTCCAGATAAGAAATATAATTCATCAACAATCGATCAAGATAAACCAGAACATAGGGCCTCCTAACTGTAAGCACTTGAAGGTCTTCTGGGGAGGATAAACAAAGCCTCAGAGATAGGAATGTCACAATAGTCTTACCATACCAAGTGCATTTACATAACCAGAAGAACTGCCACCACATCCCCCTAAACCAGGGGTCTGCAACCTTAAATACTCAAAGAGCCATTTGGACCCGCTTCCCACAGAAAAGAAAACACCAGGAGCCACAAAACCTGGGTGGGCATGACCAACTCAATGTCACTCACTTCCACCAGTCACATGACCCCCTAGCCTTGCCTACCCAGCCGGTCATTAAGGCAGAGAACCAGTTGTTAAAAAACACCGGGAACCACAAAATCCTTTTGACATATCTCTCTCCCCTCTCTCCTTCCCTCTCCCCCCCTCTCTGTATCTCTCTGTCTCTGCCCTGGCCGCTTCTCCATTCCCCGCCATCACCCTTACCTTCTCCGGTCAGGCAGGGAGTGACTGGGAGGGGAGGGCAAGGGGCAGGGTCAGCCAGTGGTGGGATCACCTACAGGGAGCCACAGGAGAAGACCCAAAGAGCAGCATGCAGCTCCGGAGCTGCAGGTTGTTGGCCCCTGCCCTAAACCAACTTCTGGATGGTTGTGGCAAGAAATCAGGTCACACCATCCACTGCAATGTGGGTGCTGTCAAAATCTCAGTTGCAGACCTCACAGCACGCTGTTTATTTAAGAAACCAAGAAAATTCAATATTTAGAGGCTCTCAGTGTTTTTGTCAGTAGGCAAAGACAACACAAAAAATATCCAGAAAACTAAAATAATAACCTTGACTCCATTTATAACTCCACTTATAATTTGCCAATGATGTGGTCAACAGTCATCACTTTCCTGCCTCTGTCAGCTCTCATACAAAAATTGATATTTTTTGAACAGGTGGCAAATAACATTTCACTTCAGTTTCAAGGAATTCTAAAATCACTTCCAGTTTAGGATTAATACATGGAGATCTCATTGAAAAGAAAATCCCAAACAGGCCCTATTCTTACGATTAGGCTGGGTTCAAGGATACGGAGTGGTTCCAATGGAGTTAGAACACAGCCATCACCAGTGTTAAGTGCCACCAATCTAAAGTGGCATCAAACTCCATAGCTCTGATTGACCTTCCTAGCAGTCTCTAGAGCAGGGGTGTCAAACTCGTGGCCCACGGGCCGGAAGTGTCACAAGCTGGCCACGCCCACCCCTGGTTTAGTGAAGGGGGAAAAAGTCATGATACATCATGTGAGGATGACATGATGAGGTCTGTAAGGGGTGTGCATAAGTGCACCAGCGTGCCTACCGTCCCTGTCCTAATGTTCGCTTTTATTCGTATCCTTATCAGGGGTGAAATGCTCCCAGTTCGGACCGGATCACCCGATCTGGTAGCGATGGTGGCGGGTGGTTTGGAGATCCGGTAGCAAAAATCCTTGTGCCCCCCCACACCATGCCCAGCTGAAAAAAATATGCTTTTAAAAGCCTCTGACGATCCCAGCTGAGTTGCCTGATTGTCAGAGGCTTTTAAAAGCATTTTTTTCTGCAACCTCTTCGGCCGAAAGAACCGGTAGTAATAAATTTTACATTTCACCACTGATCCTTATCCTGTATTCATAATCATGTCTATATTTATATCGGTAATCTTATATGTGTTTGACAAATAAATAAAATATAATATAATAAAATATAATAAAATAAAATAAAATAAAATAAAATAAAATAAAATAAAATAAAATAAAATAAAATAAAATAAAATAAAATAAAATAAAATAAAATAAAATAAAATAAAATAAAATAAAATAAAATAAAATAAACATTTAAATAATGTGCCTGGGATATTGGTCATCCTTTGCTCCTCATTGTAAGGATGGACCTTCCTATTCCATTTGCTTCTCACTCAACCCCCTTCCCACTTTTCTCCCTTCTAGGCCCAGCTGTAATATTAACATTCCCCCTCCAGATAAGAAACATGATCCATCAACAATTGACCAAGAGAAACCAGAACACAGAAACTCCAAACTGGCCCTTTGAAGCACTTGGAGGTCTTCTGGGGTGGAGTTTCAAATAAAGCCTCAAAGATGAGAATATCACAGGAGTTGCACCAAGTGCATCAACATACCCAGAGGAACTTTCACCAGGTCCTCCTAAACCAACGACTGGGTGGTTGTAGCAAGAAATCAGGCTACACCATCCATCACGCTCTGGGCACTGCCACCATCTCAGCTGCAGACCTCACAGCACACGGTGGTTGTTAAGAAACCATGAAACTTAAAAAATGTAAAGGCTCTCAGTGTGGAAGAGACAACACAGAAAGTGAAAAGGAAACTAAAATAAAAACTTCTATCCATTGTTCTATAACCATCTCTCTATTAGCCAATGATGCCGTCAACCGGCCATCCCTTTCTTGTCTCTTAGTCTGCTCTCATGCAAACATTGATACTTCTAGAAAAAATGGAAAATTAAATTTCTCTTCAGTTATAGGAATTCAAAAATAAAGCTCCAATTTGGGATTCATATATGGAAATCCCATTGAAAAGAAAACCCCAACCTCTTAACATTAAGTTGGGTTCAAGGATAATGATTGCTTCCATGGGGTTAGAGCACAGGCAGCACTAGAGTTAAGTGGCACCAATGTAGAGTGGCACCAAACTTCTTAGCAGTCTCTGGAGACAAAAGACCACTGAAGGACAGCAGAAGTCACTTTTCTGGCTGTTGAGGTCTCTTGCTGCAGCATCACTTTCTGGACATGTCCTAACAGGAAGGACTCTGGCCACTACACAACACTTCCCCAAGAGTTCTATCTGTGATTTTTCATTAATATGTTTTTCTCCACCTGCCCCTCATCAGATGGAAGAGGTTCAGGATCCCAAAAGGACAAGTTCCTTCTCATTGTAATTATCTCCTCACAGGCCTTGAGATCTCTTCTCCTCCCTCTCCAGTGATTGCCTTTGGTGTAAACATCACATTGAAGTGACATGGAAGGGATCTTGTATTAGAAAAGGATAAATGCCACAGGTTATGCTTTTTGTGGCTCAAGTTACAGGACAGGCAGGAGCTGTGATCTTCAGTGTAGTTTCTCTCTCTTCCAGGTGAATCTTGGTTTGTCTCTATTTGAATCAGGAAAGCCATTGGAGATTCCATCCTGTGTGACTGCTTCCAATTCTTCTAATTGTTCTTTAGAAACGGGAAGGAGATTGATTCAGCCCCATGAATTATGGACCTCCTGCTTCTGCTCCTGCTTCTGATGCTGCTGGTGCCCCAGTCAGTCTCTGGAAACTTAGAAAGAAATGCCCACTGAATTTGGACCACCAGGATGGAGAAAAGCCATGGAGCTATTAAAGGCCAGGAGATTTTCTCATTGGTACAGTCGTCTCTCCATCAGAAATAACACTTGCAACTTTACCTTTCAACGTGGCTCCTTCTAGTCAGATTCGGTTGTAAGTCATTCACTGTGATGGAGTTTCATTCCCTCCATTTGCAAGTCTAACAACTTTTTTATTATTTATTTATTTATTTATTTATTTATTTAATCAAGCATGTATTACATAATAGATATAAGTACAGATGTAATTATGAATACATGAAAAGAGTAAGTAAAAAGGAACATTAGGACATGGATGGTAGCACGCTGGTGCGCTTATGTACGCTTCTTAAAGACCTCTTAGGAATGGGGTGAGGTTGACAGTAGACAGTCTAAGGTTAAAGTTTTGGGGGTTTGGGGAAGAAACCACAGAGTCAGGTAGTGCATTCCAGGCTTTAACAACTCTGTTGCTGAAGTCATATTTTCTGCAATCGAGTTTGGAGCGGTTTACCTTAAGTTTGTATCTATTCTTTGCTCGTGTATTGAAGCTGAAGTAGTCATTGACAGGTAGGACATTGTAGCAGATAATTTTATGTACTATGCTTAGGTCAGAACGAAGGTGGGGTAGTTCTAAGTTGTCTAAGCCCCAAATTTCAAGTCTGGTGGCATAAGGTATTAGAAGAATAGAATAGAATAACAGAGTTGGAAGGGAACTTGGAGGTCTTCTAGTCCAACCCCCTGCCCAGGCAGGAAAGCCTACACCACTTCAGACAAATGGTTATCCAACATCTTCTTAAAAATTTCCAGTGTTGGAGCATTCACAACTTCTGCAGGCAAGATGTTCCACTTATTAATTGTTCTAACTGTCAGGAAATTTCTCCTTAGTTCCAAGTTCTATTGTGAGCAGAGGAGTGGAGGACTCTTCTCGTGAAATATCTCTGGACTCTCTCAATTGTATTAATGTCCGATATGTAGTGCGGGTTCCAGAGAGATGAGCTGTATTCAAGAATTGGTCTAGCAAATGTTTTGTATGCTCTAGTTAGTAGTACGATATTACAGAGAAGAAGCTACGCAAGATTAGGTTAACAACCTTTAATGCCTTTTTGGCAATGCTGTTACAGTGAGCTCTGGCACTTAGATCATTGGAGATGACTACTCCAAGGTCTGTGGCAGAGTGAGGGTCGTCTACGAGGTCGTATCTGCCCAGCTTGTATTTAGTGTTTTGATTTTTTTTTTTTTTTTGCCAATATGTAAGACAGAACATTTGTTGGTTGAGATTTGGAGTTGCCAATTGTTTGACCATTCTGACAGACAGTCAAGGACTTTTTGTAGGGTAGCAATATTGTTGGTGGTATTGAATAGTTTTACATCATCTTTTTTTTCTTCTTCTTATTTTAGTTACTCTTATATTGCAGGACCTGACTAATTTCTTGAATCCTTTTGATTTCCTGGCCTCTCACTTTTGTCTTATTTTCTAGGAGAGGCTCAAATCCAAATTATGAGGAAAATAAAAACTGAAAGAAATCCACATTATTTTCCCCTTCAATCCTCAGTTCATGATTTGAATACGAAGTTTTCTTGAAAGTAGTGATTGTTGTGCTTCCCTCTGGCCATGTCATTTCTATATTTTTATAACTGTAGATTGATACTCAATCCCTTATTTTTTAGGAATAGAGGATGACATGTTTTAGAACAGCTTTTCTGAATCACTTCTTAAAAATCCTCTTCCATGTATTCTGTTTTTGTCTTAACGACTGAAATATTCTGCAAATTGGTTACTGGGCTGATGAAAATTAGTTCTGCTACAAATAATACTACATTCTTAATCTTAGTCCTTTTGGAGAACTATTTCCATCCTGTCTTCTGAACATTCACAATATCAAAAAAAGTGATGGGTGACTATCATTTGTCTCTGATTTGGATCGATATTGACTTAAGCCTCTGTTAGCTTGTGGAGGAAAAGGGGATTAAATAGAGAAAGAGTGTTTAATTTTTGCTAATTATTGATGATCCTAATATTAACATCATTTTACACTAGTTTACCTAATAAAAAGGACAGTATGTTACGCATGGTTTTCAATATTGAAGTGGTTAACGAAAATCTCCGACACCTGCACAATCACACCCTTGGCTACAACTTCTATGACAACTATGATAACACCCTCGGCACTTCAGATGCCTTGCTGGACATGCTGTCTACTGGAGAAGCCAATGTTCCCAACTACAGCTGTGGAAGGAAGGACAACCTTTTGGTGATTGTTGATGGAGCTGACAGAGACATCTCCATCCAGATATCAACATTAGTTGGCCCCTACAAAGTTGCCGAGGTTTGTGTTTGTGTTTCTCTATCTGGTAAAGCAAATGGGTTGTTGGTGTGTGTCTGAGTGAATGATAGATCCAACCATTTCATCTCTATGGAATTCAAACTCTGCTTTTCACCATGGCATTTTAAGTGGCATGACTCAGGATTGGGATAACAGTGGGGAGGGAACTCATGACACCATCCTCATTGCTTTGAGGGCTTCTGTTGCATGATTGTGAAGGTGCGTTCAATCAAAGGGTCTTTTGTACAATAGGAAGGTGTAGCCCCAATGGAAAGCTCACATTTTTTTCATGATATTAGCCAATTATATTCTCAGACATGAATTAACCATTTTATAAAAGAATTATAAATGTGTAATTCTACGAGGTGGCAGTTTTAGTTCCCATATATAAAAAAGAGAAGAAAATGGACTCTGCAATTCCAGGCCCATTTATTTAACAGATGTAACTAAAATCGATGTTAGCTTCCCCTTGAATAGAGTTGAGAGTAGGTAGATGAAAAGTGCATTTCTTGTAGAAGAACCAGCAGTCTTTAGCAGATGTGGTCCACTATTGACAATTCTTTTGTCTTGAAACATCACACCATCTAAAACATATCAGTCAGAGGAAAGAATGGTTTCCTGCCTTTATAGCATTTGACAGAGTAAACAGAGAAATATTATGGAAGAAAGTGATTGCCCTTAAAATGGAACTCAGAATGTTGGCCCTGCTCAAAGCCCTTTCTACAAGCTACAGACAACAATTAATCAGTGAAACTGTTTAAACTATAAGGAAGTATTGGCATTACCTAAAATCGAACAAGTAAAGTGGAAAGGAGCCATGGGCAAGGAAATGAAATCCATGGGTGAACATAATGTGTTCACATCTATGGCTTGGCCACAGGGTAGCAAAGCTGTAGGATGCAAGAAGAAAGTCCTACCCAACAATGAGGTCCAATATAAAGCAAGGTTAATGGCATTTTGCAGGCTCAATGAGCCCTCTGGCTAGGTTGGTGTCAATGTACTTCCTCAATTCAGTCATCTCAGCAGGTGTCATGGCTTCGCCAATTTAACCCCTGATTGTAATTCGATGGTGCAGTCTATGGGCCGGTGAGGGGGGAGGAGGTTACATTCCTCCTCGCTGAAAGCGTTGGCTAAGTCTGCATACATCTTAGGGATTTGGTGTTTGCCTGGAGGCTTGTCTGAAGAAGCTGCTGCTGTTTCTGGCTGCTGGTCATTTTGGGTAGGTTGGTGATTGGGGGGAGGGCAAAAGGGTGTTGGGCCAACCCCTATCCTGACTTTTCGGTATCCACCTTCCCATGTGATGGTGGGGCCCCATTTATCTAGCCAAGCCAGGCCTAGTATGATAGATTCTGACATCTTTGGGGTTACTATAAATCATATGAGTTCATGATATTTCCCCATTTCTAATCTAATCAGTTCAGTAACATGAGTGGAAGGGACCCCCCCAATTAGAGTGCCATCAACCTGGTAAAATTTAATCGGTTGTTTTAAGGATGTTGTTTTGATGCCCAACTGTTCTACAATTTTAAGGCCGATTAGACATCTGATGCAGCCCGTGTCTATTACTGTTGGGAGTTCTGTTTCTTTCCCTGTTTCTGGCAGGACTAGTTTTACTTTAATTGAGAAAGGGGTGATGGGGGCACTCACCATCGGGTCTTCACCCCCGCTGGGCTTGTTTGGAGGTACTCCTGTAGCCTGAGGGTCCCCCCTCTCTTCAGTGGGGAGGGGAATCTCCACGGCTTGTTTGGTGAATCGGCTGGTGTCTTTGGAGATTCGGGATAATGTCAGCATTCCAGAAAACCCCCAACTCCCAGTAAAGATGCGGAAGCAGGCATTTTCCAAAGTTCTCTTTACTAGAAATAGGTGAACTGGCACATCTAGGAAATCCTGAATCTGAAAAACTGGGCTTTCCTTCAGTAATACAAAGCTCCCCAAACCACCCCCTTTCTCCTCAATCGATCACATGTTCCAATCAACGTCCGTTCCACCTCGACCCAGCACCTGACCCTCCTCCTCCAGATGCTGGATCACCCTGACCTTGACCGATAGGAAGAATGCTATTATGTCTACTAATTCCCCTCTCCTAAATCCTCTCTCCTACTTTCCCACACATGAGGAGGTGGCAGCATTGAAGCTTCCGGCCTAATATGGCTTCCAAGGCTGACATAGAGATTATGCAAACGATGTAAAAACCAGAAAGTCCAATTCTGGGATTGTTGTATTGTTTGGAGGGGTTTAATTGGATGGAAGTCCAGGAAGCAAACAACTGTCGCCATTTCTACTGTGAAGGCAGAATTTATTGCTTTGTCTGAATTCTGTTCAGAGGTAACGTGGTATGTACAGTTGTTAGAGGATTTAAATGTAAAGGTAAATGAAGCTGTAATGGTGTATGAAGCTGTAATGCTGCCTGCATTAAAATGGCAACAGGTGACAGAGTAAAGAGTAGAAGCAAGCATGTGGACATTAAATATTGGAATGTCAGGGAAGCCATAAAATGTAAATTAATTCGCTTGCTTCACTGAGGACAATTTGGCAGACATAATGACCAAGCCATTGGGTGGAGTGCACCATGGAAAGAATATTAAGTTAATTGGATTAATGTCCCTTCCAGTCATGAAGGGAGGTAACATGGTAACAAAGTCTGCCAATGGGAGCTGAGACAGACTGGAGCCAGGGCGTGTCTTAGTCTGCAGCTTCTGAGTCTGTGCAGAGAAACAAAATTGAAACCAGTCTGAACTAGTCTGCTCTGCTGAAATTAAACTAACTGTTCTCTCCTGCTTGTGTTTGACTTGTAACTGCTACAAGGTTGGAAGAAATCTGCTGTTGGTATTGTAAATTTACTTCATGTATTATTATGTATATAAAGAAGTTAATGAATCCTGCTGCATCAGTTTTCCTGTGTGTCAGAGGTGGTATTCAACAGGTTCTGACCAGTTCTAGATAATCGGTAATGGAAATTTTGAGTAGTTCAGAGAACTGGTAAATACCACCTCTGACCGGCCCCACCCCATCTATTCTCTGCCAGATGATCGGAAGGAAATGGGGATTTTGCAGTAACCTTCCCCTGGAGTGGGGAGGGAATTGAGATTTTACAGTATCCTTCCCTTGTCACGCCCACCAAGCCATGCCCACCAAGCCATGCCACACCCACCAAGCCATGCCCACAGAACCGGTAGTAAAAGTTTTTGAAACCCACGACTACTGTGTGTGCTTTCTGGATTTAATTTCGGCAACAAACTCTGACAACTTTAGAGAAATGATCTATTGGGATCCTAATATTAAATCAATATATTTCCTGTGTAATCAGAATCCAACAATTATATATAATATGCTGCTTTTTTGGAGGAAATTAGTTCAGTTGAGCTTCTCTTATGTGATCTGATTGTGGTAGATTCGGGGATGATTTAAAAAATACTATTTTTATTCTTCTTTTTTTTTTGAAAAAGTTTTTCAAATACAAATTTTTCCCCCCTTTCCCCCCCTCCTCCCTAACCCCCCTCACCCCCCCTTCCCCTTTGACTTCTTCATAATAAAACCCAAATTCATAACAGATTATATCATGCTTTACTATCCACTTACTCCATCTCCATATACTGACCCTTTCTTTCTAATAAAATTATCATACCCCCCTTATACTATACTATAATATGCATTTCAAAGTGAGATTCTATTATAACAATGTCTAATAACTCCTGATTTAACATAATAATATTATTTTATCTCCCAATTTAACAATTTCTGCTCGTGATCTATCCTTTTACTACCCCCCATACGATATAACATTTCAAAGCATACTTCCACTCTAAGGCTATTCAATAAATCCTAATTTAACACTTGTTCAGTTCAACTACCCATTTCCTTCCCCCCCTTCATTACATATATTCACATCTAAACATAATATCCTTTTTCTTTAAACTAAACAATCCATAACCTAACCTATCTCCACCCACTTTCCTACAAAATTACCATAATTATTCTTAATATCTTTATTCTTCTGCCCACTCCCCTAGAAAAATACTCCCTTATGTAAATAAAATCCTAAAAGAAAAAAACTTTAAACTTGTAATCCATATTGCATCTTCTGTAATATCTTTCAACTGGATAATAAACTCCATCACCCGTGTTAGGGTAACATCGCATCCTTGTTCCAGCAGTATTTTCAGTATCTTCAATTGCCATCTGCCCCCATCAGTAACAAGTATCTTCATATTGGAAGAAAAAAAAAAAAAAAAAAAACCCCGACAACCACCCGAGTGACTTTATAATTATATTCCATATAATGTTTATGGAGGTGTCTTTTATCCAGATTATTAGTTCCAACCATCATAATAGGGTAACAACCAGATCTTCTGCGTGCCATGATCCAGTAGATCTCTTGCCATATAACTCAGCATACAAGTAATATATTTATCCGGAAATCCAAAAAAAAACAAACAAGATGTTTCCAACCATTCAATTTAAGGCCTTTTTCACATCCCAAAATAATTCAGCACTGCAGAGATCTGCCCTATCCTCAGGATAAAATAAACCAATACTTTGCCAATTATCATTTCATATGTTCAGTCCTCTCATAAGTAACTGGCATTGCACTGTTGTTTAGTTTAAAAGTTTTTATATTTGTGAGACCTACTTCTTCTTTTCTTGACTTTTTGTGGGTTGGATCTCCATCCTAAATTCCTTTCTGTAGGTTGTGTATCAACTATTTGGTTTTGCTGATGTATAACTTGATCCTGTTGGGTTTGCTTTTGTGGCTGAGATCTTTCTGGTTCTGTAAATTGTATATCAACTGAATGACTTCCATGCTGGTTTGTGGCTTGACAAATCATTGCATTAAGGTCCGGAACCGCCTCTCTTATATTAAAAAATCCATCTGAGACCTCTGAAAGAGAATCCAAGAGCGGCTCATCTGTGGAGACCTCTTTAACTTGTTGTTTCTTCATTGTCTCCATCTCCTTCTGCTTTTCTTGAATTTCTGTCTCTTGTTGATTTTGCTTTTTAAGTACCTTATGATAAAATTCTTCCGCTTTTTCAACAGTATTTAACTGATATCTTACTCCTTGATATCTCAGTATTATACCCACTGGGACATCCCACCTGAATAAAATATTTTGTCTTCTTAACTCAGACACCAAGAGTCCAAATTTCTTTCTATCTCTTACCATTTTAGGCGGCAATTCCTTATATATCCAAATTTTTCTCCCATTCAGTTGTAAAGTAGAATTAAAAGATTTTTGTACAATATCATTTCTTATCTCTTTATCTGTAAAATAAATCACCACATCTCTAGGCAGTTGCCTTTGCTTTGCAATCCAGGAATTCACTCTATAAGCCTTATTAATTTTACTAAATACCTCCTCAGGATGAACCTTTAAGATCCCAGCCAAAACTTGAGCAGATGTTTTTCTTAAATCATCACTGTTATTTTCCTGTAAGCCTCTGATTCTGATCGCAAATTCTGTAATCCTGTATTGCAGCATTACAACCTCTCTTTCAATTCCTTGCTTTATATCTTCTGCATTATAAGTCTCGTGACCAGCTTCCTCTTTAGACTTTAGTTCTGAGCTATTATCTCGAATATTTATTAAGTCCTTTTCAATTCTTAATATTTTATTGTCCAAATTATCAATTTTCTCCATTTTAGACTCTAGCAATTTAATATTTGTATCCAACTTTATAACAATTTCTGAAAAACCATTAGTCACTGTTACAATCTTTTGTTGCAAGTTGTCATACTTTTGTTGTATCATTTCTTTAATTTCCTGCCTTAAATTTTCAAATTTCTGGTTCACAGTCTCATAATATTTTGCCATTTCCTCCTGAATAAATTCTTTTAAATTAGAACCATTCTGCAGAGTCTGTAGGCTCAGAGCTTGTTCAAACAGTTGTAGGTGGGGGAGCACCCCCCCTTCTTGTCTATCAGATTTAATTAGTAACGCCATCCTTCCAACAAACTCTTCTTTTTTACCCCCCAAACAAGATCAAGTACAAATCTCCAAGAAGAGAGGAACTTAAAATAACTATTTTTCTTTCAAATTGTAGCCAGCACTATATATTCCGCTACTTTGTATCTGTTATGGAAGGACTCTTACTTTCAGCTTTCTTCTACTTCCCAAGCCTCAGCGGCCATTTTAAAGCTTTTTTTTTTCTTCTCTTTCACTTTAAAATGCTTGTAAGTTCATTAGGGATACTTGCGATTTAGGGTGCCAAGTCCAAGTCTCATCTTTTTTAAATAAGTCCATCTGTTAGATTCGTTAGTTAATCCGGTTCCAGCGCCTAGCTCTGCAAAAAAAAAGCAGAGTGCACCCGATACCCGGAGCAGCGGCGAGGGACAATAGAGAGCTCGAACCTGCTCGTCCCCAAGAGTTAAAAAAAGACTCTGGGGACTTCGCAGATGGCTCTACCCACCCCCGCCCGCTCAGACTCACATTTCCATCAGGAAATGGAGTTTTTCGAGCCGCCTTTCAGATGTAAAGGTGGCTCTTTTACAGGCAACGGGGCCGCGGTCACGGAGGACCGTCTGGCGGCGCCGGAAGCCAGACAGGAAGTCCAATACTATTTTTATTCTTAATGCTAATTGCATTTTACTTATTTATTTTTTTAAAAAAAATCTACTTTTTTCAGATCAGTAATAAAATTACTTCGGATGATCTGAGTGATAAAAGTCAATTCCCTTTTTCCCATCCGATGCTCCCCAAAGAAACGGTCCTATACCCAGGAATTGTCCAACTGCTCCTTCATTTTGGATGGACCCTGATTGGTCTCTTTGCTTCGGACACAGAGAAGGGAGAGAATTTCATGAGGACTTTTACTCCTATGCTTGTCAAGAATGGAATTTGTGTTGTTATATCACAACAATTCTCAGCGACTGGAAATACAGGAGTCCTCAGCGATGCCATCTTTAAGTGGAAACAAGTCAATGTCTTTGTTCACTTCGTAGGATTTGATTCCATTTTTGACAGAATTCTTCCTTTCCATTTAACGCTCAAGCGTTTGCCAGGACCCATTGAAGGGAAAGTCTGGATCATGACAACGCTTGGAATATATGTAATGAAAAAGCAGAGGCTTCTCAAGTATGTCCATAGTATTTGGACCTTTTCTCTTCAGTGGAAAAAGAGTTGGAATGATGATGATGCCTATAAAAGATATTTCTTTGTGGAACGTGGATTTCAAGTTGAGTATTTTCACTGTTCTGTTTCAAAACACATATTTTCTATCAAAGGCCGGAGAAGATGCACCCAGAAAGTACCATTGGAGACAAAAGAGGAAAAGAATAGGATGTGGATCCCAAATGAGGGCTATACTTACAGTGTCCTTAAGATTCTGGCCCATGCCTTAAAAGCTGCATCCAAACCCCAGAGGAGAAGGGAGAAGGGAGAAGAGAGGCTGGGGACTCCAAGGCTGCAACCGTGGAAGGTATGGGGTCCCATCAAGGATCCATCAAACTAAATTCCTTTTCAGGGTCTTTGGGGCTCTCAGAGCTTGTTTGTTTAAGATCTTAAGCTTCTGTACAACATCTCGTACTTATTGGAAGAGCATTGCATCTTCCCTTCTACAACCATTTTCTATATTCAAAAAAAAAAAATGTTCCTAGACTCCATCTGATTTTCAGCTCCTGTAAACTGAAATGGCTCTTTTCCTTGTCTTTCCTCAAGGCTAAAAGAGGTTCCTCTGATCTCTTCCTTGCCTTCTTTGTTTTTGCTTAAAGCTGATGAATATATATATATTCATATTTGGCTGAAAAATGCCTGCGTTGGCGTCTTTATAACATTTATCTTCTCAGACTTCAAAGGTATTATTCCAGCACTTTTTTAAACATGCTTGTTCGTTTGCAACTGAATGAGGTTTGATTAAACAGTAGCCTCTTCTCCCACTATTCACAATAATGTTCAGTGCAAATGAGTTTGGTTCAATATTTTTAATTTAATTAATAAAATAAAAATAAACATTGGGGGCTTGTAAGCATTTAGGAGGTATTCATGGGGGAAAAAAGAGAGCAGGATTTTTCAAAATTGGCAGCAAAACAGTATTTCCAGGATTGAAACCTGCTAGAAACAAATCGAGGAAGCGAATTCCATGAAAATAGGATTGGGGTAGAGCTGTATCACGTAAGGGGCAGATTCTGTTACAGATTTGCAGACTTTCAAGCTTTAGAATAGCAGCCGAAGATGGAAAGTGGCTAGATTACAATCCACCAACATGATGAACTGCCTGGAGAGAAAAATGAAGAATATCAGTGGACCGAAGTAAGAAAACCAAGCTAACTACAGAATGGGAAGGAGGAGGAAATATTAGGAAAAAACATCCTGAAAGATTGTGGAATATACACTAAGGAAGAAGGGATTTAGAAACCGTAAGAAAAAGTCCGGGAGTGACCATTGTGAATGACGCAAGGGAGCAAACCAAAATGCAGATTGCCAGGCTGAGCTTTCCTTCTTGATCCATATTTTTTTAGAAAGCAGCTGAGAAACTGTCTTCCTTTTCAATTGGCAAGTCCTCTCTTCCGAAGTCATCCATTTCTCGCGAGTCTCACGGTCCCATCTCAATCGAGTCCTGCTCGGTCTGTCCTTCCTAAAAGGGTGGGGGCTCCAGCTTCTCCATCAGGGACTTGATTCAGCTTGTTCCATTAATCAGTTTGGTGGTGGCGATGACGTATTCAGTGCCCCCGTCTTCCATGTGAGAGAGGAACAGGAGGGCTGCGATTTTGGCGTAGGTCATGCCTCCCAGAAAGAAGACGAGAGTGACATGGTTTTCTCCATGCTGGTGCTTTTTCTGAAGCCCGGTTGGCAGCTGCTGCCTCTCTTCAAAATGTGGACCAGGAAGTATTTTTAAGATTTCTTCAATGCTTCGTCAACCTGGCCGGACAAGCAACTGTGCCAGACGAACGCTTAGAGGCACATAACCACTGTAGACGTAAGAGATATTATTTGGGTTCTGCTCTTTGATGTTGTCCATACACAGATGCAAAGTTTTCCAGATGGTTGGGTAGTTGTTCCAACTGCCCAGCCAGGGCTTCAAAAGTCCAGCCTTTTCTAGGCTATTCAAGGTCAAGATGTGTTTGTAGCCATAAGTCTGGAGAATTTCTCTCTTGTAATGATCCAGCACCTTCTGCTTTAAGCTGCTGTTGCACACCGACTGCAGGCAAATGAGCCTCAGTATCTTAATCAAAGGATACTTTCGGGCAATGCAATCTTCTATGTAGCTGTTGACCTTATCGGTATCTATCCCGGACATAAATTCTTGCTCCACGGTTAAATTATCGAAGAAGTCTTCAGAGGTGGTGATGTCTTTCACGAGCTCCGCGATGGAGGTATGGTTCCCCAAAGAGCTTCTGGCAGCCTGCATGTGCGGCAGCTGTGAGACAAACTGCTTGATCTCCCCCACGGTTTTGGTGTGGTGCCTTTCCTCAAAAGCAGCTGAAATGATTTTGGCTTTCTTGCTCAAGACGCTGCCCACAGCATTGAGGTTCTTGTTGCAGATCTCCGTGTACAGCTTCTCCGCGGAGTTCAGCTGCAGCTTCTTGGCCTCGGTGGGGAGCTCCTTCACAGCCTCCCCCTGCTTCTTGGGTTAAATTTTTCAGGGGGAAGTTTTATGTAGGTGTTCTGAATTCTATATATTTCATCAATTAGGCCCTCATAAGTCAGTTGGGTAGCCAGAGGAGAGACCAAATCCACGTTGTGATCCAGCAGCAGAAGGGTATCGAAGATGGGCAGGATGGTGTTCTGGATCCCCGAAAAATCCCTTTTCATGCAGATCATCATGTTTGCCACATGCCATGCGCACTCTTCTTTTCCAAAGATGAGTGGGATGGTTCCATAGAGAGCCTGGAGCATCATGAGTCCTTTCACAGCATGGTAGAGGCAGGTCTGGTCATTTTCTAGGTAACACTTCTTAAAGGCGTTTTCTGACTCCATGGACAAGAGGTCGCTGTCAAAGGGAATGAGGAGGTCCAGGCTGCATTCCTCTCGGTGAATAAAACAGTGCAGCACACCCAGTTCTTTGAGGCACTGTTTGCACAACAAACTGCGACGCAGCACAAACAAGATGTAGAAATCCCGCTGCGGACAGCGGATTTTGTCTTCACTGAACACATTGTCTGCAATTATGTTCATGAATTCTAACCTGGGCCTGACAAAGAAAATAATGTTCTTGACATTAGCCGGTGGAAGGTGACCCCCTTTGAGGGTGAACATTTTCTCCACCTCATGTTCCTTCAGAAGAGAATATTGCACAATCAATCCAAAGGGCCCAGTAACATACTCATCCCACATAATGGCCTTGGATCCGGTGCATTTGTCGAGGAAGGCGCGCAGCTCCCTCCGCCTGGCTTCCCGCAGCACCGTCAATGGGACGTGGCCCGAGCTGAGGTGAGCCACCATGGCTGCTGCGCTGCACTCAAAGCTGATGGATATTTTTCTGCAATGTCTTCTCTAAGTGTGTTTTCTACAAGAGGACATGAAATGATTCCACTGGATCATTAATAGCATTATCGCCAAATTAATAATAGGGATATTATCGTATCATTAAAAGATTACTGCTACTTTATTATAATAAGTAACCATTATCTATATAAAACAATGTGAGAAAAATCACAAAGATACAGTCATCTATCAAGTACTAGATGCTAAAAATTAGTTCATTTCCAAATGGATTTTACTTATGCACTTCTCTCTATCACAAAATCATATTTTTATTTTCTGGAAGCTGGAATTTTTTTTAAGGAGATCAAAATAACTTTGTATAAGCATTATTATAATATTTGCATCACAAAAACATGATTTATCTATTTCTTTTATCAATGAAAATACACTTGTTCATAATTTCCAATTTTATCATTAAGATTAAAATTTATTTGAATACAAGTTTTAAGACAGTTGTATCCATTTAATTATCATGCCATCTAGCAATCAATTAACTAGATCCCCATTCATCACATCATGAATCATTTTGTTAATTCTTTGCTGAAAACAAGTTCTACCACCAGCATTCACACAATCCATTAAGGAAGTGGGATATGTAGGAATTAGTTTGGAGGACTAGAGAAAGAGATGCAGGGAAGGATCAGATAAGAAGGTGGGGGGGGAGGATGAAGCAGCATCTGTGTTACAGGGAGAGAAAGAAATTCAGAGAAGGTCCTCCCAAATGTTTAGACTGTAAAAAGAGATGGTGAAAGATTTGTATTTTCATACTTGCAAGATTCTGTTAATATTGTCTTGCAGTAAAATAGAATTAGTTCATCTGGTCATTTTCCTGTCTTAGTCTTGCAACTTCCTTCTTAACAAATCCTTGCTTTCTGATAATCACCCTCTTGTTTCCAAAGAGTTTATGAATGCTCTTGATATTTGGGGGTTTTCTTCAGTTGATTTATGACCTTTCCTAAAATGTTTCTTGTAATTGACAATTTTTGCCAATTATATCTTCTCACTATACTTTTTGTCAATATACTGTATGATTGAGAATTATTACTGAACCTTTGTTCTTGAGTTTTAAAGATAGTGGCCACATGCCAACTCACAATATTTGCAAGTTAAACAACCATAGAAGAAAGATTCAAATGTAAAAAGAGATAACAAAACAAGATTTCTGCTTTTAAAGTTCCTGGATGTTTCCATTCTAGTTCCATCCATTTCTAAAGAAGAAGGAATTGTTCAATCTTTCCCTGCTGAAAGTGTACTTGGATCAAAATGGAGAGGTAGCAGCAGATCTAAAGATCAACAGTAGGGTAGTTCTCCTCAAGGAGGATCCCATCAACAAGGAATTGGGGAGTTTTGAAAGGCAGCAACTGATAATCAACCAAGATGCTTTGTCACAGCTAAAGTTGCTCAACAAGGTGGGGAAAATAGTGATGTGTTTTTTTCATTTTCCCAAAGAATTAGGACCCTTTTCAAGTGGGCTAAATCTAGTCAAAATGGGGGATAACCTTCACTGAGAATTGAATGTGTGCAGTAAAACTTTTATAATTTTCTTAGAAAATAGGGAGGCTTCTCTTCTATTGACCAAGGTATCCTTTTGATGTTATAATGCTGAATACTGTTGTAAGCTGATTCAGCTATATCCAAAATGAGATTTGGAATGATTATTATTTAGGACAATAATCATTGCCATTTCATGTCTCTTCTTTATCACCATAAAACCGGTGACAGAGGGCCTCATATACTGAGGATTTTGATATTAATAGCTTCAGGTACACTAATTTCTTGTCTTCAAATATCAAAGTTGAAGGCAATTCTGTTGACCAGAGCCTGAGTTCAACTTTGGTCTCAATCTGATAAAATGGAATCAAGACTGGATGGAACTCTACTTGGTCCCAATGGGAAATAAGCTTCATCTTGACCTGTTTGGAGTCAGGAAACTCCCAAAATTGCAGGCCTAGAGTCTGCAATGTTTTTAATCAGCTGAGACCATAGTTATACATGTCTCTCTTTAACCCTACTAGGATAGTAGAATTTAGGAAGGAGGTCCAAGGCATTCAGTTCACACGAAATAATAATGCCTGGTCTGATGTGAGCTTATTTATTCATTGATTGATTCAATTTATTTGCTCTCCCATCTCACACAATAATGGTCTGAAAACTGAAGTACAGAAATATGACTTTGACGCAAAAAAATCCTGATATCAGAAGTAATAAGGGACAATTTCAAGGGAAATATTACTTAGGTTTTGGCATTGGAAGTAATCAGAGATTTCATATTTTTCTATCTGAATCCCAGAGACTACTTTGCTAATGTTCCTATCTACCTCCATGTTACATAGATGGTGAGTGTAACATCTTTCCTTTGTCATTTTTTCTTTCTCTTCTCAGTCTCTGCCTCAGTCCAAATGTGTGGAAAAATGTCAGCCTGGATTTGTGAAGAAGGCTCGAGAAGGAGAGCCATTTTGCTGCTATGACTGCGTTCCTTGTCCAGAGGGGACCATCTCCACTCAGGAAGGTCAGTGGCACCATAGGGAAACCTTCTGAATTCATCCATCAAGTGGATATTTCCTTCCCACCTTTTCTTATCTTTTCAATTTGTGTTGTTGTTAAATATTGAGATAAAAACTGTTATAACACCAACAAAAAAAAAGGAATATATTTGTAGTTCTGAAAAGAAAAAAATACTAACATACAGTGCTGGGATTAAAAGCAAGAGAAAGGAGGGGGAGAAGGAGAACTAATAAAAGACCAATCTACAAATAGATACCAATGTTGAATTCATTCTCTCTTTAAAATTGTTGCCAAATTTAGAAAGGATGGAAATATATCGCTTCATCTTCTCATTTTTATTGGGTAAAAAGCCTTGGCAGATAACAAACTCAGTTCCCCTTCTGGAATTCCTTCATTAATTAATCGTCCTTAAGATCTCTTTCTTTTCAAGTTTATATGGTTGTCTATTTCACACATAGGGGCTTTTGGTGGCACACGATTAAATCACAAATTAAAAATTTAAACACTGAGAACTAAAGGCTAAGAAAGCAAGGGAGGAGTACATCAAGATGCTACCTACCATGCAACCAGCACACAGGGCTCTGTTGTCAGGGGATCTCCAGGACTATTGGAAAATATCACATTTTAAGGGATTTGTAGAGACCCTCATAGTCTGGAGATACTCTCAATTTCAGGATAGTTAATGATTTTTTACTAAAAAGGTCTGTACAATCTCCCCTGAAGTAGGCAGTGTTGCAACCCTTCTCAAGAGGAATTCCATGGATCCAACCATGTTAGACAACTTTTATCCTGTGTCCAAACTTTTTAGAGCAGTTTATTGAGATCATGGTTGTTGGGTCAATCATCATTAACGGAGTTTAAACATTCTTGGGTTAAACACATGTCCATCATCTCACAAAAGATAAAATAATAATAATATAATAAATCAATAAAAACAAAGAACTCATGATAAGATCAGTGAGAGATAAGAATCTGGTGGATTAGCTCAGAGAAGGGAGTTTGTGGCACCAGATATTTCTTCTTACAATTCTATTTTGTTGTTCTTGTTTTTTGTTTTTTTTTTAATAGTTGTACTGTATATATTGGGGAATTTTTTGCTGGAATGAATGTATATACAGTACAATTTAATGAGGCTTTCCTGTCTCTCAGTATCAAATCTCATCTAAAGGTTTTCTCGAAATTTCAAAGATTATGAAAGAAATGTTACTTTGTTTTCTCAGATACTGAAAAATGCACCAAATGTGTAGATGAACAATATCCAACTAAGAACAGAGTCCGGTGTATCCCAAAAAGAATAACCTTCCTATCTTATGAAGAACATCTGGGCATAATCCTTGTGTTCTTTGCTCTACTCTTGTTCCTAACCACAAGCCTTGTTTTAATCATATTCCTTAAATATTTAGAAACTCCCATTGTCAAAGCCAACAACCGAGACCTCTCCTTCATCCTCCTGATCTCCCTCCTGCTCTGTTTTTTGTCCTCCTTTCTCTTCATCGGCCAGCCAAGGAAAGCCACCTGTCTTCTCCGACAAACGGTGTTCAGCATCGTCTTCTCAGTAGCTGTGTCTTCTGTGTTGTCCAAAACAGTCACGGTGGTGCTGGCCTTCTTGGCCTCAAAACCAGGAAACAGGGTGAGAAGATGGTTGGGGAAGAGCTTGACCAACTCCATCATCCTGTCTTGTTCTAGTGTTCAAATTTTCATCTGTGTCATATGGCTGATAGTTTCTCCCCCATTCCCTGATTCCGACATGCACTCCCAGCCTGGAGAAATCATCCTTCAATGCAATGAAGGTTCTGTTACCATGTTTTATGTTGTCCTCGGCTACATGGGTTTCCTAGCTGCCGTTTGCTTCACGATGGCTTTCGTGGCCAGGAATCTCCCTGGAGCCTTCAATGAAGCCAAGCTGATCACCTTCAGCATGCTGGTCTTCTCCAGTGTCTGGGTCTCTTTCCTGCCCACCTACCTGAGCACTAAAGGAAAGTTCATGGTGGTCGTGCAGATCTTCTCCATCTTGGCCTCCAGTGCTGGTCTGCTAGGCTGCATCTTCTTCCCCAAGTGCTACATTATTATCATGAGACCAGATCTAAACATTAAGGAACATCTAATGATAAAAGTAGGGAAGTAATAATTAAATTGTTTCTTAGACTTGTGACAATTAATTATTGATTGCAATTTGTTGTTGATTTATATGTTTCATTTGCCTCTGTTTGACACAGAACATAGAACAATAGAGTTGGAAAGAACCTTAGAGGTCTTCTAGTTCAGCCCCCTGCTCGAGCAGGAGACCCTATAACATTTGAGACAAATGATTGTCTAGTAACTTTTTTAGAGCCTCTAGTGCTGGAGCACCCACAACTTCTGGAGGCAAGCTATTCCATTGGTTTTGTGAGATCCTCCATCATTGGATTGACACCTCACAAGTGTCCCGCCATCAAAGAATTGGGATTTGGAGCAGGGCAGTTGGGTAATAAACCTATATGCTTCTATGGTAGGAATTTGGGAGGGAGGAATGACAGTTGAAGGAATGCAAAGCAGTTCGTGCCAGGCATCTTCAAGGTCGTTCACCCTGAGTGTGGAATTTCACCAGCCCAAACACTTCAGCATTTCCCAAAACATCTCCGTGATATCCGATTGGCTAAAGACCGACTAGACATGGGGGAAGGGTGGGAAACTAAGGGTTTGTTTTTTGTATTGTTTCATGGGAACATCAGATTCCTCCTGACTTTACTGCAGCCAGCATTTTTAAATAAAAGTTATTTTCATTGCAGACAAATGGACTTGAGGGTTTTACTTTCCTAAGGGATCACACTGGGCCAGGTCTGACATTAGGCAGAATCTGATATTTTGGTCAACCCAGAGAGGACATCATCTCTACTGTGGGGACCATGCACATGATATTGCCTCAAGGGAGCAATCAGGAGGAGATTGAATGGTGGGGGAGGCTTTGAAGAGGCCTCCTTCAGGACTGGATCTCTCTGAATGGACAGGGGAGGCAGAAAGCTGTGGAAATCTGCTGAGATCCAGATGGTCTCTGGGCATCAGGCAAAAGGAGGAATGGAGGGGAAGCCCATGGTGATGATTTTCACTCATGGAAGCTGTGGCAGTTGTGGGCAGGAACAATGGGTGGAGCTGGTGGAACTGGAGGAGGAAAAAGAAGAGGGTGAAGAGTTAGACAAAGCTGACTGGATGACAGAGGAAGCCGTAAAGTTCATGCAGGGGGCTTTCAAGAATGTCAAGGTGTGTGAACACCAGGCCCAGGTCATGCAACCTGATGACCTCCAACCGCAATGGGAGCCTGAGTAATAACATCCACCACCACTGCCGGCCCCTCAGCAAGCCCAATGGCAGCTGTGACCACTCCTGGTCCAGCACCAGGAGCTGCCACCTGTATCACCCCCTCTGCAGTTATAGCCCCAGGGAGGAGGACACCCACAAGACACAACAGCTGTGTGTGAAGTTTAACAGGAATCCCCTGTCAGTTTTGGAAGACAATTTTATTTTTTGCTTCTTAACTGCCACATATTTTAGCTGGGGAAATTGGGAGAGGGCTGTTGTTGGAGCGGTACAACATTCCGTATTCAAGGACTTTTGCCTGTGCCTGCTGGAGACTGCATGAAGATTGTATCCGGTGGAGTGTGAAGAGTTGATTGTACAATGTGACGAACTTGTGGGTGTGAACTATCAGCTGGGTGTGGAAAATCTGGAAGCTTTCAGATTCGGGTTTTCCCAGATGTGCCAACATGACATCTTTAATAAATTAGAACTTTGAGGAACCTCAGGCCTCAGAGCTTTATTTGACATTCCCAGCAACTGGGGTTCTTCCTGCCCCAGGTTTGGACCTACGTGCAGGAGTATCATCTGGAGATAACCACTGAAGGTGCCAAGGTCAGAAGTGTCACCAGGGACCTAGAAGGGGCTGCAGCGCAGTGGATGATCACCCTCGGAGTGGGTCAGAGGGGAGTGGCTGAGTATACAGAAGAACTTTGTGACCTAGTGTCAGGTTTCCAATCGATGCCTTAATTAAATCATGGCCCTCAAGCCAAACTTCAAAAGGAATCCAGTTATTTATTAGGAGCTTCATGTCGGCATATTCTAAGTGAAGCCAATTCTGACCTCACTTAATTTATTTTCCAGCTCTGACCCTGTTTCCCCCTCCCTCCAAGGTGTGTCATCAGTCACATTCTCCAATGAAGCAATTGTTTCACTGCAATCCTGTCCTCAAAGGATGGGGGGAGGGAGGGGGACAGATGGGCAATAAACCTGTATGCTTCTATGGTGGGAATCTGGGAAGGGGGAATAACAGTTGAAGGAGTGCAAACCAGTTTGGTACCAGTTCATGCCAGGAATCAATCAATCGATCGATCAATCGATCAATCACTAAAGATACATCAACACCAATAACAGCAATAGACCTAATCTTGAGGTAGTTGGGGCCATCTAGATCTCCAGGGAGACTCTTCCCCAAGGCAGGGGATGCCAGAGGGAAGGGCTGCTTTCTGGTCCAACAGAATGATATGGTTTCATAGAGGGGATGCTAAGAATGTCACTGTGCTTTCCCTACCCTGGGTCATGTTGGATGCCAAAAAGTTTTTCACTTAACACATTTCCACTTTCTGATGAATTCTTCACACACATTTACGTGGCAACACTGAAGCCTCAAAAATGGCCTCGGTCAGGTCAGCTTCAGGACTGACACAAGGACTATAGAGTATCAAACAGATTATAAAAGTTTTAAAGTTGGTGGATTTCATTAGATTTACTTGTCTAGATCAGTTCAACAGGTTTCATAGGTTTTACATCTAGAAATGTTATGCTATCCTAATTCTACCTATTTATTGATCTATCTCTAAACATGTCAATATTTTGCTGTATTTTCTCTCTCTCTTTACACACTGGTCCCCGACAACCACCCTGGTTTATTCTGTTATTTAGTTCCACCTTTACAAACAAATAATGGCTTTTTTTCAATGAAGGAAATGTCTACTCTTTTTTAAAAATTGAAATGTCCCAACAGTCGAACCCAAAGTCAAACTTTTGTTGACTATAATTGATAAAAGTGATTTTCAGGGATTTTGTTCTGGTCTGGACTGTGTTAGAGAGAAGACGAAGTCATATGAACAAAAGAGCCACTCATCGCTTAACAAAGGCAAACCAGAATCAGCTGTATCCATATTGAGGATTGACATTTCAGACTCATGCCAAAATTCTCTCTTGAGACTGGAATGTATGGAGAGTTTTTCTAAGGGATTTGTGAGGGAAATACTTTATGAGCTGAGCAGCTGCCATGATGCTGTAATACTGTAATGCTGTAATAATAATGCAATGGTAGGAATGAGATGTTTGGGAGAAAGTTCTCCTGTCTCACTTCTGGGAACATTTTCAGAGTTTCACCCCATTTGTGACTTCTCCCATTGGGCACCTGCCTGTTGACTGACTCAGAGTTTAGAAAGATGATGTCTCTTTTTGTTGCCATTATCCAAATCATAGTGATTTATTTATTCTCTTGGTGCTAAATCTCAAAAGACATTTTGGATTGCTTTCAGATATTGCACAAACACAGCCATAACAGGCTTCCACTTTGATATCACATCAACACCTTGTTGGCTAATATCTTTGCACTGGAAAATCTTGGGGGCATAAAAGGCCCAGGAGAACCTTGAAAGCTTTTATGACAGGCAGGGGATGCAGGTATGAAGGCTTGTACAGACTCTGTCAGGATTACAAAACCTTTGGAGCTTCTGTCTTAGAAGAGGGCTTTGGTTTCTTCCACCTCTTCCTATCACTGTGTCTTCAAAGCAAGGCTGGAGACTCCATCAGGAACACAAGTCATGTTGCTGCTTCTGCTGCTTCTGCTGCCCCAGGAAGTTCTGGCAAGTCTCAGAGCCAAATGTCTTCTGACTCTGAAGAGGGACGAGGTGCATCCAGAGAACTATTACAAGCCAGGAGAGTTTCTCATTGGTGGCATCGTCTCTGCAACGAGGATGAAGCTTCTACCAATAAGCTTCAACAAATCTCCTTTGACTCAAATTTCTCTGTATGTCAAATTTTATGTACAGAATTAGAGCCTCTCCATTCCACCCTAAGTTCTAAAGTTTCAGCTGCCTCTTTTACAATGAATGACCTCTTTGATCTGCTAGTTTTTCTCTCTTTCTGTCTCATTTCATTGTTCGGTCATTCTTTACAGCTGATGATCCTGATTTGAAATTCTCAAATAAATAATCAGTAGAGATCTTCTGTTTTTCTTGACTTTGAAGAAGAAGCATCTGCTTTTCTTGACATCCTTTCAGCAGAATTGGACTGTGGATGGAGAAGAGAGGATGGTTCTTTTCTTCTACCACTCTCATGCCCAATAAGGTCATCAGAATGGGTAGAAAAATGCAGAAACATTGACTTTTTTGTCTGAAGTAAAAATGATAAAAGCTTGAAAATTCTATTCTGTACCACCAATTAAATGAATGGATCCCAGTTCAGAATTGACTTTTCTTAAATGTGTGAACCTCATTTGAGTGGATGCCAGCATCCCAATCATACAATGAGTTATTTGTCAGCTAACTCTCTATGGCTAAGCTAAGTTTAGATATAGGCCATTTAAACAACTCCAGAAATTTAGCACTTACTGCACTTGTTAATGGTGATAGTTGCTCATTTTATGTTTCATTGTGGGTATATCTGTCTGTATGTGTACTTCAATGATCCTATATTTCATGTGGAATAATAGGTGACACTTCCAATTACTAATTATTCGAGAAGATAAATAGGCAAACGGATAGAAAGAAATTGAAAACCAGTCTGAAATCTTAATACAACAGCAAGAATAAGGACAATGTGAAGAATAAAAAAAACTGAATTTGTAACTGAATTATGTACAAATGGTGAACATGTAATAACAAAAATGTATAAAGTTTTAAGGATTTGAAACAGAAGATGAACAGGCTCAATTTGCATGACTAAATGCACTATTAAACTTGCATATTAAATAGAGATGCAGAGAATTTAGGTAACTGGCGTTCGGTTTATATTCTGTCATAAGTTAAGATTTATTTATTTTTTTGAAATAAAGTGATGTATTCTTGGTATAAGACATCAGATATATTATCAAAGATGTGTAAACACATTTCAAAGCAAAGCAAGAATTGTGAAAAGAATGGGGAGACATTTTCTCATGCAGGGTAGACAAGTGAGAAAGCTCAGAAATTTTATATCAAATTAACACAACAATGCAAAGAATTAGAAAGGCTAAAAATTGTGAAGAAACCAGAATTTTTTTTAGTGGAACTTCTGAGGAAAGAATTATCATATTTTTTGCACTATAAAATGTTCTGGAATTTAAGACTCACCTAACTTTTAGGCAGGAAAACAATCTGCAATCCTTGCCACCTGGAACGGGCCAAAAACGGGATGCGCTGAGGCAAAAAATGAGGCTCATGGAGGACGAAAATGGGGCACACAGAGGTGGCGAGAGGCAGCTGTGGTGATGGGTGGCGACGGTGGCGATGGGCAGTGGTGATCCCCATAACCTGGAACAGCTGATCGGCAGTATTCCGGGAGGCCGATCCAACATCCAGTCAGCTGCTCGTGCTGAATCAGGGTATGCTGAAGCTGACTAGGCTGTTTTCTGTTTGCTGCAAGGAGGCAAATTGCTGGGAGGCAGAGGCCGAAGTGTGGGGGCCAGCGAGTGGGTGAGGCTTCAGCAACATTTGCTCTATAAGACATACAAACATTTCCACACACTTTTTTGGAAGGGAAAAGTGCATTTTATAGTGCAAAAAATATGGTATATAACGTTCATAATGTTTATACTGTATATGGTAACTGTGGCAAGATTATTGTATGCTCAGTGGTGGAAGAATCATGGAATCCTCACAGTGGAGGACTAGATGGTGAAAAATGTAGAATTTGCAGAAATGAAAAATTATGTGTTGAAAAGAAGGTGGGGAATCAGGTTTTTTTTAAAAAAAAATATTGGACATTTCCTTCCTTTCTCTATTTTTTCATTCCTTTTTAATTTTGATTAATATTTCATTTTCTTAAACAATTCTTTACAAATATAAATTTAAAAATAATAAAATGTTGCTTCCACTGATTATGTCCTGATACATTCATACTTTCAGGAGTATGACCTCAGAGGCTTTGCTGGACCTGCTTTCAGAGGGGGAGGCCAACGTTCCCAACTACAGCTGTGGAAGGCAGAGAAACACAGTGGCTGTTCTTGAAGCAGCTGGTACTGATATCTCCATCCAGATTTCAACCATGTTGGGAACCTACAAAATCCCACAGGTTAGTCTTTGTTGGGAAGACCATTTTTAGACATGCAATTTACAGCCAGACATCCTCTCTTCTAAATGAAGAGCAAAGTTCTATTATAGGAATTGTATGGAGTAAGGATGAAGGTTCTATCAAATTGTAGAGAAGGATCCCAGCAGACAATCCTCTCTCAGGTGCAATCATAATGCAGACTGTGCATCTCTGCTGGTGATTTTCAATAGCCAAATGCTTCACTGAAGAGCTGCAGTGGCTCAGTGGTTAGAAGGCAGTACTGCAGGCTATTTCTGCTGACTGCTGCTGACTGCAATTTGGCAGTTCCAATCTCACCAGCTCAAGGTTGACTCAGCCTTCCATCATTCCGAGCTGCGTAAAATGAGGACCCAGATGTTTGGGTGCAATATGCTGACTCTGTAAACCTCTTAGAGAGGGCTGTAAAAGCACTGTGAAGCGGAAGATAAGTCTAAGTGCTTTTATATTTATATTTATAAAGTTTATTGTCATTGTACGTATATACACAGTATACCCATACAACGAAATTCACTTAACACCCAAAGACCAGGTCCAACACACATAACAATCCCCAAACACACCCCCACCCACCAAAAATTCTCCACCCCTAAACCACCCAAGCATCCACACAGCAGACCAAGTAATGCTGTCCAACAACTCACTGATGGTGGCCCTTTAGTTCATTGTTGAGTGCAATTATAGCTCTGGGATAAAAACTATTCAGAAACTGTGTGGTCTGAGTTTTAATTGTTCTGTATCTTCTGCCAGAAGGCAACAGTCCAAAAAGATTGTAAGCAGAATGGGAAGAGTCTCTGAGAATGTTGTGTAACTTCCTCAAACAGCAAGAACAGCCTCTTCTGTTCCTTCTTCACAAGCATATCAACATTCATAGTCCATGAGAGGTTCTCTGAGATATAAATGTCCAGAAATTTAAAACTACCAACCCTCTCCACCTCCTCACCATTTATGTACAATGGTAAATGTACATCTCCCTTCCTCCTGAAGTCAATTATATGTTCTTTAGTTTTTTTGGTGTTAAGTATAAAATTATTTTCTATACACCACAATATCATCCCTTGTACTTTCTTTCTATAAGCAGACTCATTGTTCTTAATAATAAGCCCCACCACTGTCGTGTCATCTATTTTGTTTTGCTATTCCTATTGAAGTGAGAAGAGAGGCAATGTAAGCAGAATGACCAGGAGTTGAACAATTCCTCCATTTGGCCTAGATATTGTTTTTATGATCTCTCAAAAATAATAAAGTTAATTTTTTTTTCCTTTTCAGATCAGTCACAGTTTTGATTCCCAGGTTGTGAGAGATGAAAATCCTTTCTTCTACCCAATGCTCGCAGCCAAAGGAGCCCATTACCCAGGGATGGTGAAGCTGGTCCTCCATTTCAGGTGGACCTTGGTGGGTCTCCTTGCTCCAGACACTGAGAATGGACAATGGTTCATGAGGACGTTGACTTCCCTGCTGGTCAGGAATGGCATTTGCCAGTTTTATCACAAACCTTTTCCCCAACTTCACGGGAAGCGAAGATTGAGTGGCATTTATTCCGCAGTTGGAGAAAGATCAATGTCTTTATTTTTGCTGCAGACATGAGTTCATTCAATACAGGGATTTTGCTTCTGAATCTAGTATTTGGAAGCCTTACGGAACCTCCTAGAGGAAAAGTCCTGCTATTCACAATCCGCTGGGACTTCACTGTTTATTTGTCAAAACGATCTTTTCCAGTCGAATACTTCCATAGCATATTTTCCTTTCCTATGCAGAAAAATAAATTTGCAAAGTATAATAGGCCTTTGAACCTTTATTCTTTTATGAGATACTATGTAGAGACCTCCTTCCTGTGTTCCTACATCAACAATGCCTTTTTGGTGAAAGTCTGGAGATGGTGCAGGCAGAGAGAAGACCTGAAAACTCTCAAGGAAGAGGAGATGGATCCAATCCTGACTCGGGACAGCTATTTAATTTACAACACAGTCTGGGCTGTGGCAAGGGCCTTAAATGCAGCTTATTTATCCAGATCCAGGAACACATTTAAAACTGGCAAAAACTTGAAAACTCCAAAGCTGAAGGCATGGCAGGTACTTATTTTCTATTGCAAAGCTCTCCACCACATCTGAGAATCTATGTTACAATTCTAAGAACCTGACAATAATTATAATGTATTCTGAATATAAAAATTACATTAAATTCCAATTTTACACCACTCTCCTTTCTGCAATTCATTTAACCCTGCTCATTTCTTTTCCAATTTCTTTTTACAAAATTCTTGGTAAAAATATTTTTCCTCCACCTCTTTCCTCTTTGACTCTTTTTTTTACAAGCAGGACCATTACCACGTCATACACTAAAAAGTGTGTTGTGTATATTAAGCTGTTTAACACCTCCGATCCACTCACTTCCTGGGCTTTCCCCAGAGTGGATCTTATTCTTTGGCTAAGAATCAGTGGTGGGATTCAAAAATCATTACTACTGGTTCTGTGGGCTTGATGGGCATGGCATGGCTTGGTGGGTGTGTCAGGGGAAGGATACTGTTGCAATATTTTCAGGATCAGACTCAATAAGATTAGCAAGAGTTAAAGATTTAACTATATATTCTTTTATTTACATTAGGCATTCTATATTCACTGAATATTCACAGATAGAAGCGAGGGAAAGGGTGTAGGTAGCTCCTTATATATACAATGGGTGGAGCTATATGTGGGAGTGGTGAATTATGAATACATTAAGAAGTGAAGAATAAGTTAACCCCTGATACCCTGTCTGTACACTATTTACACATTAGAGAATAAGGCATTTACATCTGACAAATCCCCCTCTAAATGCCGATTCGTTATACAACACCAGTTACACTCAGATTCAGGACAATACAAAACATACAACTTAGAGGTTAAATATTTATGCTGCTTAGAAGGTAAAGGCTTTGTCAATATATCAGCTAATTGTTCTGAAGTGTCGCAATGCACTGCTTTAATAAATCCATCCTGAGATAATTGTCTCACATGTTTAAATTTTATATCTATATGTCTGGACCTTTGTCCAATGGCATCAGATCTAGATATTTCAATGGCTGCTTTATTGTCTTCATGCATAACAAAGGGCAGAGCAGGTTTTTTCCAGACATCTGAAATTAAATCATTAAACCATACAAGGTTATTTGCGGCTTTGGATAAACAAACATATTCCGCTTCTGTCGTTGAAGTGGCCACTAGTTCTTGTTTACCAGTGTACCAGTAAACTGGACAGTCATTTAAGAGAAATACATAACCAGATGTACTTTTTCTGCATGAGGTGTCTCCAGCCCAATCTGCATCTGCATAACACGTAAGCTTTGGTTCTTTAATATCATTAGGCTCTAACATTAAACAAAAGTCTAGTGTACTTTTTAGATATCTTAAAATTCTTTTAACAGCTTCCCAGTGATACATTGTTGGTTTGCTGACATGCCTAGATAATAAATTGAGTGGTAAAGCGATATCTGGTCTAGTCCAATTAGATATGTAAAGGAGTGAACCTATGATTGATCTATAGAATGTATTGTCCTTGAACTCGGGAGAAGATTCATCAGAATTTCTTAGAAAGTCAGTTTGCATAGGGGTATCACAAGGTTTGGCATTGTTTAAGTTGCATTTATTTAAAAGTTCTATGATCTTATCTCTCTGGGTAAGTTTGAATCCCCTTTTTGTCTTATTAATTTGGACACCAAGGTATTTGTTTACCTTGCCTAAAGATTTCAATGAGAAATGCTCATTTAGTTTAGTTACAAAAGTTTCTCTTCTTTCTTTATGTTTTCCTATGTATAAAATGTCATCCACATAAATCAATACAAATTCAATGTAATCATCACCCCTCTTGACAAAGAAACAATTATCAGCAGTGGTAGCATTGAAGTCCATGGTCTTAAGTACTTTTACTAAACAATCATACCACCGTTTACCAGATTGTTTTAGCCCGTATAAACTCTTGTTTAACAACCAAGTCTCATTTCTGTTTGTGTATTGACTATGAGGTGCTCTCACGTATATTTCTTTATCTAATTTTGCGTGTAGGTACGCAGTCTGTATGTCATATTGGAATACATCAAGATTGAGTGCTGATGCTACCACTAGAGCTGTTTTGACACTCTCTGTTCTTACAGTGGGGGAATACGTGTCAGTATAGTCCTCCGGATATTTCTGTGCATAACCCTGTGCAACTAATCTAGCTTTGTATAGAGTATTTCCTCCCTCTAAATTCTTAATTTTATATATCCACCTGGTACCAATAATTGTCTTATCTTTAGGTGCAGTTGCAGGTGTAAATACATTTAGTCTTTGTAAACTTTCCATCTCTTTCTTCATTGCTAATTCCCATTTTTCCTTTTCTTCGTGAGGAAGTTTTAACACTTCCTCGTATGTATTGGGTGTTGTTGGTTCACCATCCATGTGCATTACATAATCCTTGTATTTATTTGGCATTTGATTTCTGGTGTTTCTAATGATTTTTTCGGGTTTACTATCGTTATCATGCAAATATCTTGCTTCCTTTTTTGTTAGTGTGTCTGTCTTTATTTTGTGTTGGCTATTTGTCCAAGTTTTGGTTTTGTTTTTATATTTGTTGATATTTTGCTTTTCTATAGTCCCTTTCTCATGAGGTTTTGTATCTTCATGTTTATTTGGGAATATCTCATTAAGATGTAATTTAGACCAGTTAGCTTGTTCATGGAACACAGCTGTTCTGGAGACTATAAATTTGTTGTTACTATCAATGAATCTGTATCCTTTAGTGCCAGTCTCATATCCCATAAATCTGAGTCTTCTGGACACATTTTCTCCCTTTCTTCTTAATTGTTTAGGTATGTGTACGTCTGCTGTGACTCCAAATATATGCATGTGTGCTAATTTTGGTTTTCTATTATACATCACTTCATATGGTGTCTTATTTACAATGCTGGACCATGTTCTATTTTGTGTGTAATTTGAATAATGTAAGGCTTCTGACCAGAATTGTTTGCTTAAGCCAGCATCTTCCAATGTGCATCTAATCATGGTTTGTAATGTGGAATTTTTTTTCTCTACAATCCCGTTTTGGAACGCAGAAAATGGACTAGATGTGTAATGTAACATTCCTTTGTCTTTTAACCATTGTGAGAATTCTTTAGACATGAATTCGCATCCTCTGTCTGTCATAATTTGTTTTATTTTGATGTTGTGTTGTGTTTCTATGCGTTTGTAAAATTCTTTAAATTTTTGAAATGTTTCATCTTTGTGTTTTAATGTATAAACAAATCCATAGCGGCTATAATCGTCCACTATTGTCAGGAAGTAACGTTTTCTATAAGTGATTGATGGAGTTAATGGACCAACTAAGTCCATGTGTACTAAATCAAAAATTTTGTTAGTTGATCTGGTAGATTTTCTTGGCCTGGGACTAGTTTTTAGTTTTGTAGATTTACATACTGAGCATTCCAGATAATTTTCACAATTTTTTATTTTAACACCTTCTGCGTGTTCAGTCATTTTTTGCACTACAGGAAAACTGGCATGTCCTAACTTCCTATGCAATATGTGAGCACACTCATCATGAATTGGTTTACCTATCTTTGGCTTCTTATCGTTGTGTGCATCTGTGTGATCATGAGATATTTTACATTCATCATTGTCACTGTTGCTAACATTCTCATCATCTATTTCAATACAATCTTCCATATTTGAATCAATGTTATGTAACCATTTTTCTTTTGTTATCAGATAAGGTAGGCCTCCTTTAGTCACCACAGTGCCTACATTTATTTTATTCTTTTCCAAAGTTGCCTTTCCTTTTGAAAAGACAATGTTAATGTCAGAATCTCTGCTTAGTTTTATGGCACTTAATATGTTATGAGGTATTTCAGGTATTAGTAATACCCCCTCTATTTTTCCTAGACCAGGCAAGGTTACATTTCCTCTACCTAATACTTGAACCTTTTCTTGGTTAGCTACCTTAATTACAAATTTATCTTCTGCAAATGAAGACAATATACTTTTGTTATTAGTGGTGTGATTAGTTGCTCCAGAATCAATAAGCCAATTATTGTTCTCACTTTGTTGTGTGTTAGTGTTGTCTTGTTTATTTAATCCATTCAGTGAACCAGACTTTCTATCCTTTGAATTGTCTCTGCCCCCTCTATTCTCTCTGTGATTTGGTGGGCTCCTATATCTATGCCTTTCTATGGAAGGCTGTCTATAATCGTATTTGTTTCTGTATTCTGATCTATATCTTTCTTTTAAGAATTTTGGGCAATCTCTTCTATTGTGTTCCCTGGATCCACAATTATGACATTTAAATGTTCCACTATATTTTTCTTGGAAAGCTACTTTCCTATATGGTTTATGTTCTGTGTGATTGTTAGAACGATTCCTTCTAGAATTATCTTCTGTTATCAATTTGTTAGATAGACTTTCTATGGATAAATATCCTAGATTGATTGTGTCTAAATGTGACATAAAATTGTCCCATGATGGATCAAGTGAGTTGATAATAACACTTTTCATTGTTTGGTCTGAAATCACCTCCCCCCTCAAATGCAGTTCAGCTCTTATTTTGTTCAAAGATATTAAATGTTCACTTATGGAAACCCCTGGTTTTATCCTAGATGAAAAGAAGTCTTTAGATATCCTTGTGGTGGTAGCTACACTGTCACTGTGAAACAAATTAAACATGCATTGAATAATTTCTGAAACAGTCAAATTTGGCTTAATGCTGTGATACATTGCAGGAGACACACTAGATATTATTAAGAAAAAAGCTCTATGGTGTAAACAATCTATTTTTAGTGTCCAAGGTCTTTTTGGGGGACTAGTGATAAAAAACAGTAAGTTTTCCTTCATAAAGACAACCTGGAGCTGTTGATACCATTCTTGTAAATTAATGCCATCAACCCTTAGTTTTGGGAAGTCACTGGGTAAATTTCCGACATTATTGGGTCCATTACTTACAACCTGAGGTAGTCCGTGGTCTCGTAAATGCAGAAAATTGCAAAACGGCGTGGGGATGCTCGCTACGAGTCTGCATGATCTTCTCTCCAGTTCATGTCTTCCCGGATCGTCAGCGTAGTTTCGCGCATGCGCGTTGCTCATTTCTTCTTCGGCGTCGTCGTGGAAGGTTCTCCTCATTGCGGCTTGCTCGCTCTGCTCTTCTTCAGACGAGTCGGTCTCTGGTTCGACTTTGGGGGTTCTGACGACGGTGGCTGTTCTTCCTCTTCTATTGAGAGCGTTGGTGCTTGCTTCGGTCTGCGGCGTAGGGCGGTATCGGCAGGGCTCTCTGGGTTCTGGCGTCAGCGCTCTAGTAGTCAGGATGGGAGCGGGCAGGTCTTGAGGCATTGGCTTGCTCGCTCGCTTTTTCGGCATCTTTTTAGTAATTTTCAGTTTTGGCCCAAATGCAGCAAAGAGCGTTTTCATCGCTGATTTTATTTGGTGTTTTGTTGGATCTTCCTCACTTTCTGGTTCTGATTCTTCTGAGGTGTTTGAATCTTCTTTTTCGTTTTCGTTGTCTGATAACATTTTTCGCGCCAGAAATTTTGAATTGAGCTTGCTGATTGGTTCTGCTTCGTTCATCTTGGAGGCCGGTTGAAACCAAGATGGCCGCCATTCAAATTTTCGCGCGGGATCATCGTTTTTCTTCTTTGTAATGATTTTCTCCGCAGTCATATCACTCACTATTTTTGGATCTTTAGGTTTTTCATTGGTGATGTTTTTCTCTCTCGCTGCTCCGCTGTTCTTCAGCATATCTTGGAGGTTCGCGATGAGGCTTTCATCGTTCTTCTGGCTTTTTAATAGTTTTAATATCTCTGACCTGAGTTCGTTATTTTCTATTTCGATTTCCTCCTGGTCATCAATTATTTCTTCGTCTTCAGTGGTGTATTCTTCGGATTCTCTCGAAATTGCATTCGTGGATTCGTTGATTATTTCTTGTTCCGTTTCCATTTCTTTGCTGTAGGCCCTGGTGTTCGGCCTATCTTTCTTAGACATTTTAAAGTTTTTTATTGAGTCAATTAACCATCCTCTGCTACCAATTTGTTGCAATATTTTCAGGATCAGACTCAATAAGATTAGCAAGAGTTAAAGATTTAACTATATATTCTTTTATTTACATTAGGCATTCTATATTCACTGAATATTCACAGATAGAAGCAAGGGAAAGGGTGTAGGTAGCTCCTTATATATACAATGGGTGGAGCTATATGTGGGAGTGGTGAATTATGAATACATTAAGAAGTGAAGAATAAGTTAACCCCTGATACCCTGTCTGTACACTATTTACACATTAGAGAATAAGGCATTTACATCTGACAGATACTGTAAAATCTTCATTCCCACCCCACTCCAGGGGAAGTTTACTGCAAAATCCCCATTTCCTCCTGATCAGCTGGGACTCGGGAGACAGAGAATAGATGTGGGCGGGGTCAGTCAGAGATATTTACTGGTTCTCTGAACTACTCAAAATTTTTGTTACTGGTTCTGCAGAACTGCTCATAACCTGCTGAATGCCACCTCTTCTAAGAATCCCTTTGATTTTCCTTCCCCGGCTCAAAACTCCCAGTGGAAGATTCTTTGCACCAAGAAGCTAAGCAGGCTAAGGTCAGGTGAGAAGATGAAGGGTTGGGCTTGGAAAAGTCTGGAAGCAACAAGAGTGAAAACTATTCCACAAAATATTCCAAAGATGTTCCATAAAAGTGAAGGAGGTGACCTTAACTGGTACCAGTTAACTGGTATTTTCCAGTGCCTAAATGGCCGCCGTGGTTTTCTGAGCTCCGTTGGAGATGGGGCGTGTTGATGGAAAGCAGATGTCAAGTATCGATGTCATCTCAAATAAATTGCGCTCCCAAACAATTAATCTTTGCTGAAATATTCCATTTATTGAGTACAACAGATCTGGCCCTGACTTCGTCGTAGCCAATACTAACCCTCTGACCCCCAAACCCTTCCCTTTCCATTCCCCAATTCTCATCTTCTCATTGGCCATCTTCCAAGTCAGTCTCCCCAGCTTCTGACATCACCCCACAGGAATGTTCCCCCCTCCCATCCCATCTCCTAGGGGATATTATCTACAGAGAAAATAAGTAGGTGAAAAGTCAAGCCTCGTCTTTTTATGGCAGCATCAGAATGCTGACATCTGGCCCCTCTCCCTTCATTTTTCCAGGGAGGCCTGTTTCAAGAAAAAAACAAAAACAAAGTAAGTACCGTTACCCCATCCGAGGGTGTGTCCCACCCCCTCCCGCCTTGCCTGGGTGATCTGCATGGAATTTGGCTATAAGGCGATCAGCTTGGGTATTTGTGCTCTTCACCCAGGAAGCCTCTGACAAGGGGTAACCCTTCCACTTAATTAAGTATTGGAGGTGCCCCCTATGCCACTTCGAATCGAGAATTTGCTGTACCTCATAGTGAGTATGGCCCCCAACAACCAGGGGCTCGGGGGGGTCACATGGCACCGTCCTTAAAGTTGACCCCACCACAGGCTTCAGGAGGCTGCTGTGGAAAATGGGGTGTATCTTCTCTAGTAGCCGGGGCAACCGCAGTTGTACTGTAACCGGGTTGATTATTTTTTCTATAGGGAAAGGTCCTATAAATTTCAGGCCCAATTTCTTGCTCGGGAGTTTAAGTCTCAAATACTTGGTGGAGAGACAAACCTTCTCCCTGACTTGAAATGGTCTTTGGGGAGTTTCGTGCTTGTCTGCTTGTTTCTTATAGGATTGTGCTGCCTTGGCCAATGCCCTCTTAACATTCTCCCAGGTTTCCCTCAACATATCCATCCAATCGGTCAAGCTGACTGAGGAAGGGGGCTCCCTTGGGTACTCTGGAATGTAGACGAAATCCATACCACTCACTATTTTAAACGGGGTTAATCCCGTGCTACTGTGGACAGCGTTATTATACGTGACCTCCGCAAACGATAGGAGGTCTGCCTAATTGGACTGTTGGTAGTTGACGTAGCATCTTAAATACTGCTCTATCATAGCATTCAGTCTCTCCGTCCCCCCAATAGTGCTCGAGTGAAACGCTGTGCTGAGGCCTTGGGATGAACCTATGGATCATAGGAACTCCCTCCAAAATTTTGCTGTGAACTGGACCCCTCAGTCGGAGATGATTCTTCTGAGTACTCCATGCAGGCGGTAGATGTGTTTCAGGAACAGTTTGGATAATTGGCGGGCTGAGGGTAGCCCGCTGCAGGGTATAAAGTGTGCCTGTTTGGAGAATAAGTCTATTACAGTCCAGATCACTGTGTTGCCACCACTTCTCGGCAGTTCTACTATGAAATCCATCGCAATCTCCTCCCATGGTCTCGTTGGTTCAGCTACTGGTTGTAGCAGCCCGGGAGGGCATCCTGGTTGTCTCTTCATTGTGGCGCAGACAGTACAACTTTTTACGTAACTGTCTGCGTACTTTCTCATGTGGGGCCACCAGAACTGTCTCCGTGCTAAGTGCAGAAATGTCCCGCTGGTTTAACATCATGGCTCCTCTTGAGGATCAAGTTGTGTAGAGTCTGTGGGACATAGAGTTTTGTCCCCTTCCATGCTAGGTCATCCCTTTTTGTCAAGAGGTGTTGGTTGTCTCAAAACCAGGGATCCACTGCTGTTTCAGTTTTGAGTTTTGTAGTTAAGTCACTTGCAGATTGGCCCTGCTGGTTGCGTCGTTGCTGTCTGGTGACCATCTGACCCACTGCTTGGGTGGAGAGGATGATGGCATTCACTACCTGCTCCCGCTCACTGTTGTATTGGGGTATCCGGGAGAGTGCATCAGCCAGAAAGTTCTTCCCCCCCTGGGATGTGCTTGAGCTCGAAGTTGAAGCGATTGAAGTATTGAGCCCACTGGACCTGCCTGGGCGACAATTTCCATGGGGTTCTGAGGGCCTCAAGATTCTTATGATCAGTCCAAACTTCAAACAGTTTCTGGCCTCCCTCTAGTAGATGCCGCCAGGTCAACAACGCCCATCTCACCATGAACGCTTCCTTCTCCCATGCCGCCCATTGCCTCTCTGTGTCAGTGAGCTTGCGGGAGGTGTAGGCACAAGGTTGTAAATTACCTTGGCTGTTCCTTTGGAGCAGCTGGTTGGTAACACAACACCAATATCCTTAACAGCCCCCACTGCCACATCGCTTGCATCGGCTTGGATGACGAAGGGCTGTTCAGGGTCAGGATGCTTTAAGACAAGTTCTTTTGCAAACATATCTTTTAGTGTCTCGAATGCCCATTGGCAGGTCAGGTCCCACTGTAGGGGTTGTCCCGGGTGGGGTTTCGTCGCCGGACTCCCTGTCTTTAGGAGGTCCATCAGAGGTTTGGCAATTCTTGCGAACGAGGGGATGAATTGTCTGTAGAAGTTCGTGAACCCTAGGAAGCTTTGCAGTTGTCTGCGGGTGCGAGGGGGCTGCCACTGTAGAACTGATTGGACTTTGGCTGGGCCCATCTCTATTCCTTTGGTTGATACTCGGTAGCCTAGGTAATCTAGTCGTGATTGGTGGAACTCACATTTTGACAGTTTGACATACAGGTTTTCCCTCAGCAGTTTTTCCAGCACTTGGCGGACGAGGCGTATGTGTTCGTCTATGGTCTCCATATAAATGAGGATATTGTCCAAGGAGACGAGGACCCCTTTGTAAAGGTGCTCATGTAGGACTTCATTTATCAGCTGCATAAACATCGCCGGGGCTCCTTGCAATCCAAAGGGCATTACCTTGAACTGGAAACTCCCCAGGGGGCAGTTGAATGCCGTTTTCCACTCATCTCCTTCTCTGATGCATATTTGGTAGTAAGCTTCCCGAAGGTCTAGTTTGGGGAAAACTTTTCCTTTGGCCAGGTGGGCTAGCATGTCCTTCATCGGGGGAAGGGGATATAAGTTGTGTACGCAAATGGTGTTGATAGCTCTAAAATCAATGACCAGGCGCATAGAGCCGTCTTTCTTCTCTTTGAAAAGGACCTGAACTGGTACCAGAGATCATCGTTCACCATGAAGATATTGGGGTCTCTGCTCCATGGCAAATTGCCCACCTGTCACCTCAATGCAGAGTTTCATAACCACAACTTACTAGTAGAGCAAAGGTCCCACATTCATCCTCAAACTCAGCAAAAAAAAATTCTCTTCCTAGCTGCCAATTGACCTATAAACCAGTTTTTTTATAACATTGTTTCTGTGTGGGGCATCTGATTTCATTTTGGCTTTATTGGCAAAATTCCTTCAGTGTTGTTGAGCATAACTTCCATTTCCTTTAGGGTTTTAATTTTGGACCTCAATACTTCATACTTCATCTATCCTTTGCTTTGGTTACTTCCCATTGTTTTTCCAAACTCTGCAGTGAGAACTACAAATGGAAGAGATAAAGATCATCCTTCACTCTCCGTATTTTCCATGTCATTCTTGGTCCTTCTAGCAAGATTTTTATTCCATTTCCTCATACAGATCTGTGAGATTTAAAAAAAACAGCAAACCTCATAAAAAGTAAAATGGAGATCATGAACAAGTAAAAAGTAGTTTTATTATACATACATAGATATATACATACACACACATACACACACATTTGTGTGTGTGTGTGTGTGTGCGCACGCGCGCGTGTCATAAGCTTTTGCAAAAGGGTTCTCCCATGAAAGAGAGAGAACGTCTTACAGCTCCAAATAAATGGTTTAAATACTTTTTCAGGCAATCAGCAAAACAATTAAAATGCCCCCGCTTATCATTGTTTTTCAGATGTTACATAACATTTTGGCTTTCTGAGTAACATTTGTTCCAACCAAAAATATTTCCCTCCAAAAATACCCTTTCAATATGTCCTTAACTAAGACAATTAATTGGAACAGGGTATCTTCCTTCCTTCTAATTTAGCTTAGGTCAACCTGACCCAACTCAGAATGTACTAAAACATTATTTCCTCAGAAAAGGCATCATGCATACTTTGCCTTTCTAAGTGTCTTACTCAGCTAAATAGCTTAGGGTTAACTCAGGTTATATGAAGGATAAATATAGAATCACTTAGGCTATATTCTTTACAGGAATAATTCCATTTCTTTCAAGATCCTTCATGCCAGCTGACATGGAGGAGTCTTACCATAGAACTTTCTGTGTCTATATAACATTGCCCATTTTCTCTTCCATTCCAGTTTCATTCTTTCCTTCGAACTGCTGAGTTTTATAATAATTCCATCAATGGGGTATATTTGGATGAGAATGGAAAGCTGGTAGCAGACCTGGACATTGGGAACACGGTGGTTTTCCCCAATTACTCTGCTACCACAGTGACACTTGGGAGGCTAGAAAGAGTGGGATCCTTGGATTTCAAGTTCATGATGAACCAGGATGCTATTGCAAAGATGGAGATGCTGAACAAGGTGGGGGAAAGACTTTATTCTGTTTTTTCTGAAGGTCTTTCCAAGATGATTGCAGAATTGGAGCAGGGACAGACTTGGGGTGTCATCTCAGTTCTTCCAGAGAGGAAACGTCTTCCTGTTAGATGTTCAGGTGTCTATCAGAAAAATATCCCTAACTATTCCAGTTAACTGTTCATCAAACTTCTGCAAGGAAGCTGAATTTATATCATAGGACAAAGTGATTGATTTTGTCAAAACAAAAATCCATTCAAGTTCCTTTTCAGTAGGTACATTGAGAATTTAATCTAGAATTGTGGTGGGAGACAAATTAGAAGAGAAGGTAAATAGACAAACAGCAAGCAACCACATCAATTTGAGGAGCTCTTCGTTTCTTGTAGTCTTCAAATTTAGCAAAGCTAAACCTTGAATTGGAGATCCCAAAACATTTCCTTTTATGTATTTTAGGAAATAAAATAATTTCATTTAATGGAGGTTATTTTCCCCCTCTTGCTGGCCAGCCCCAGCCTCCTTCCAGGTGTGTGGAAAGCTGTCCTCCTGGGTTCATGAAGGTGGCTCAGGAAGGGAAGCCCATCTGCTGCTACAATTGTCGTCCTTGTGCAGAAGGAACCATCTCCACCATGGAAGGTGGGTGACAGCAGTAGAAAGGGAGAGACTTTGAGGAGGATCATAAATCCTGAGATTCTCCATGAACATGCATTTCAGAATGCTTGGCCAGAGTGGATCCTATCTCTTTGAGCCTTGATCAAGATATACATTTAGGTCATAGTGAATTATAAGAAAATATCTTGGAGATTAATCTGGTAATAAATCAGGCAAACAGTTAAACAGATCATGGATGAAGCTATGGGATAAGTGAGGGTTGAGGGTTGTGAGGTAGATGGCATCTTTTGCTCTTCATCTTTTACAACACATCTTCCATGTTTCAAATTACTATTTACTTCAATGCTCTGAATAGTGAGAGTTTCCAGATTCCAGAATATAATGATGGAACTCTGATTGGATTTCTATAGGAGGATCAATCAGATTCTTCCAAGTATCCATGTCTCATGGCTGTTTTGGGCAGCCACAGTTTCAGGTTGTAGCTATTTGCCTTTAATCAAAACATGTATTTCTTTGCTAAAGGAGTTATCAGGATTCCAAGTAACACACCCATAGCAAGCAATACTCCAAGGCAGGTACATTCCTCAAGGAATAGCTTTATTGGATATATCATATTGGCAAAGATCAGGAGAAAACCAACTCTGAAGGTTCCCATAGTTTTCATCTAATTAAAAATAAAAGGTTTCCCTCAAACCCCAAACAATCAGTTACTTGGTCCAATCAAGGCACTGTCTTGTTGCCTGGTGACATCACTCCTCCTTCCTCTGGCCAGGTGGTAGAATGTCCTTGGTTCCCAAGAGAAAGGATTTTATTTTGGCTACAAAACTCCAGCTATCTCTAATCCCCTCTCCCTATCCCTCAGCTCCAGTGTGGCAACAATGGAGCTC